TTTATTTTATTTTATTTTTGTATAAAGGGGACAAATCAGGTCAGCTCACTCCAATTCATTGATGTGAATTTAGCAGTAGAAGTTGATTAAAAATTTTGTACTATTGAGAAGAATATTACAATTAGTTTTTCTTTTTTGAAAAATCAGGCATATAGGCGTGTTGGCATACGTGTTTAAAGACCAAAAGAAAGATCAAAATGAACCACGACGTAAAATCATCTTCTTAGGTTCCTTTACTTCGATGATTTTTGGAGTTAACAGTTCATGACATTCTCACAATAGTATTTTTGGGGTTAACAGTTCATGACATTCTCACAATAGTATATACCATTGTGGTTACTCTAGTCATATTTATTAATATCTCATGAAAAAATAAATGTGAATTTGTTTTGCCCCCCACGATGTGCGGGTAACATCGAGCGAAATGAATCTGGAATTTTTTGATTCCAACTATTAACTTTCCATAAGACATAATTTTGCATGTATTACTTTCAAAAAAGGATAACAACATTAAAAAATGTTATAAATGTCACCCCTATGTGCGAATAACCAACTGAATTTCACCATTATGTTTTTATTGCGTTTTTTTGTATAATTGCTTTATTCTTTATTTTTTCCTCAATTAGAATTTACAATTGGTGTAATATTACATTTTTTCCTATTTACAATTGAATGATGTTTTCATTATATTATTTCAAAATACAACAATTGTAAGCATTTTCCTTTTAAATTTAATACGTTATTATTCATTAAGTACTTATTACGCTTTTTTTTCACCATTTTCTTATTTTTAAAATATGTAACTTATAAAAACATATACATAAATCCCGTGCATCGCACGGGTTTAACAACTAGTTTAAATAAAGATAAAATACACTTTTCATCTCCCAATTTTTGGAAGAAACAATATCAAGTCACCATAAATTTTTAATTGACAAAAATAATCTCCTAAATATTTTTGCCATCAATTTTATTCAATTTAATAGAAATTTTTTCAACGTTAACAGGTCAATCTTCTTTCCGTTAAGTCTCCAATTTTTTTTATTAATTTTCTGAATTTGACCCACATTTATTCTTTTTTTTTCAATTTTACTTTTTTAGATTTTTTTTTTCATTCCTCCGTTTAAACGACAATTTTTTCTTCTTCATGCCCCATCTGGTGCTAACCCTTCGCCGCCGACCTTCTCACCCTTCGCCGCCGAAATCCTCTCCATAAACAGAGATCATTTAGACCCTAAATTCTTTTGGGACATGCTGAGTCTCCTTCGTTGTCTCTGTTGCTGTTGGATCCACCAATTGGCTTGCTCCGCCTTGATTCTGCTAGAAGGGGCCGACGTTGCCACCGGCACAATTTTTCTAACCCGCGGCTGCTGGACATATTTTTTCTTTTCCTCCTAGCTGTTGACCGCTTTCTTTGGCTGCAACCATAGATTTCACTTGTTTCAAATTTGTTCATTTGTTGTGAGCTCGTTGGTTGCTACCACAAAGTCCATTGTTTGGCTGCATCATCGTCCCAAAAAAAAAATTTCTTCAGTTCTTATCAAAATCCCACCACCACCTTTATTTTTTTCATTAATTTGTCTATTCGTTGTTTTATATTGCAAAAAAATTGAGAATCCTGTCTCTCTTGGGTGCGTCTTCCCTGAGCTCTTGGCCTAGAACGGAGTCAAGTTCGGTGAAGCCATCTGGTTCAAGGCCGGATCCCAAATCTTCAGCGAAGGTGGGCTTGACTATTTGGGCAACACAAGCTTGATCCACGCACAGAGCATCTTAGCCACCCAGGTTATCTTGATGGGTGCCGTTGAAGGTTACAGAATTGCCGGTGGCCCGCTCGGTAAGGTGACCGACCCGATCTGCCATGCTGGAAGCTTTTGACCCGTTGGTTATTGCTGATGACCCGGAAGCAATGAAAAAGAAAAAGAAATGAATATTAAATCTTAATAAAAAAATGAAAAATCTTAATTAAAAAAATGGAACTAATAAAAACGAAATCTTATAATCTTAAATAATCTTAATATTAAATCTTAATAAACAGAAATGAGAAAGGAAAAATTTGTTGGGTCAAATTAGTGGACCCCACCATTCATAAGGAAATTAATAAAAAATAAAATACTTAACGGAAAAAAAAGTTTGACCTTCAAGTCTTTAAAATTCTGTTAAATTGACCTAAATCGATGACGAAAATATTTTAGAGTATTATTTTTACCAATTGAAAATTTATGTTGACTCGATCTTATTATCCTCAAAAGTTGGGGGACGAAAAGTGTATCAAGCCCTTTAAATAATACAGTACTAAAACAAATCTTATAGAAATAGAGATAGAATGTGAGTATTTTCTTTCTTTTTTTTTTTTTGGTCAAAATACTATTCTTCCTCATCCCAATTATAAAATACAAATTAGGAAAAAAAAAAAAAGAAAAAGAAAAAGAAAAGAAGAAGCTGAGTCTCATTTCATGTTGGTTAAAAGTTAAAACTAATCATTTCCGAATTCGTAGAAGTATACTGAAAGTTATTTAAATATTTAATTAATGGCCAGCAACGACAACAACTTCTTTTTTGGTTGTCCAAACTCCAAACATGCAATTCGGTTGACATCAGCGGTTTTTATATTTGGCAGAGAGAGGAAAACCTTCAAGTAAGGTTTCACATTGTTCTGCAATCTGCACTTTTCTATGATTATTTGCGCAGCTAGAATTAATAATCTTTAATATCTCGTAAACTTATAATAACATTGATTTTAATTTTGACAAACGAAATTGTAGAACAATGTGACTACAAATATCGCTAATATGTAACTACTAAAAGTAGAATTGACTTTTAAAAAAATCAAAACGGAAAACGATGCCCAAGGCAATAACAAAAATTGCAGTTGTTCAACTAACCTTTTAATTTGGCAATATGGTAAATTAGTAGAAATCCCGTAAAGATTTGCACATGACTCAAATGTCATTCTTTTATAAAGAATTACTACCATGTTTTAATCATGGTTTAATCATTATTAAATGTTATTGACGCAACAAGAAATGACGATTGACGAAACGATATGAAGTTTGTTTTTGTGCGCGCTGAAATGACACTTAAATTAACGGATTTGTGTACGACATGACTTGTAAATGATACGAATTACTCACTAGGCATCCCATCATTATACTACTCCAATCAAAATAAATAAATGATTATATGTATCTTAAATCTAAATTTGAATTATTTTTTAAAATAATTATATTAAAATAATATAAATTTTAAATTTAATATATATTTCTTTAATTTGAGACACTCTCACAAGTATGGAAGTTTCCGAGGTGAGTTTAAAGCAGTACTAACTAGGTGTTAGACCCGTCCAGTATAGGTGAGAGCACATATACATAGACATTACTACACAAACAAATCAAAAAAATGTTAATATTTGTATAGATTTTTGTATTTTTATAAAATACATAATGAATTTATTAAAAAATATAAAAACAAACATCGATAACACTTTACCAAACGAATACACTGGTAATTTATTTAACACAAAAAGATTGTTAAGAAATTTTAAAAAATAAACTTTGAATTAAATAATTATATATCTTGCAATATTTCTTGGTAGACTACATTGGTAGTCTGGGGCGGAAAGGTTGGCTAGGGTGATTAAGAAATTATGATAAGGAATTTTTTATTTTTTTTTGAAAAGGTTTATGATAAGGAATGGTTACTACAGAAACAACAACCCTAACTTGTTGTAGAGGCCATCCAATTTTTTAATAAGAAAAATTAAAAAAATTAGATATCGGGACCTTTATTCCTTGTTTCGGTGTGACTTTTGATTTTAGTGTTTTTATTTTATTATTTTATTTTTTAAATAGGATGCATTCTCTTCCTTCATTTTTTATATTTTAGCCTCATTTGTTCGTTTGATTTAGTTATTTCTCATTACCTATCTAATAATTTATCTTTAATTAACTTACCCGTTGTCAAAAATATTTTATTTAAAATGTGAGGGTGGGACTATTTTTTTACCCTTAAAGAATATCATTTACCTATTTTTTTTCTTCATTAATATCTTTCTAGACACTTTCGCAAATGTTAAATCTATCCTGCTCTTTTTTTTTCGAATTAAAGTTAGATTTTTTAGCCCCGCTACATCAACCCATCACCATAGTATTTTAACTCAATTCCATATTTGAATCTAAATTATAGAAATTTCAGGTTTGCATAACTTCTTTAATTATTTTAATAAATTATTAATATAAAATTCTTTTACAGTTGCGTTTTTTTTTAGGAGGAAGAGATCCGTCTATCGGATTTGCAAGGATTTGGTCGAATCAATATAGGGTTTGGATTTTTTCAGTTGCGTTTTTTTTTTTTTTAGTTTTTATTGTTTTGTTTTGTGCATTTTTATATCTGAAAAATTAAGAAAATGCCACATAGGATTTTTATCTTATGTGACATTTGTATTCCTTAACTTTAGATTTCTCTCTCTGGTTTTTGTCTTAGTATAGTATATAGAAGATAGATAGATAGATTCTACCTATACGGAAATTCTCTTCCAAGTAAATTTATTCCTTACGAAAAGAAACGAAAAAGGTGTACAACTAATTCTACCTATACGGAAAGCCTGTACAACAATTTAATAATTAAAGCTGTTAAATACTCCTCCGTCTTCCGTCTTGAATAATTAAAAAAGTAGTAGGATTAGTATGTATGTCTAATAGGCCTTTAACAGTGACTTTTTTATTTTTTATATTAAGTATATACTTAGAACCCTACACATCAATTCAATAATCCCATTGGGAAGATTTTAACCCTTTAATAAATGAGTTTGCTGACAAGATGGATAATTATACAAAGATGAAGAAAAGCGAGGTCATTTTTTGTAATAAAAATTCTAACATAGTTACTAGTTACTACGATCATTTTGATCATTTTATGTCATAGTATTTCCAATTAAAAAAAAAAAAAAAACAAGGAAAGAGTACTTATTCCGAGAAAGGTAAGTAGACTAAAAGAAGAGAAAAGGAAGTTGACCGACTTACGGCGGAATCCATAGCCATGAATCGAAACAACTGGGTTTATTTAAATGAGTGGCCGCAGTAATAAAATTAGTAGTACTACTACTAAATAAAGACACACAGTAGTGAGTGAGGGAGGTAAAAGTAAAACAGAAACAAAATCAAACCCGTAGTTGTTTTTTCTGTTAGTAATTTCAATTTGCAGTCGAATCGACGCCGTCTAAAGCCTCGTCTTTATGAATTCCCAATCTCTAATTTTACCACCCTTGCCGATACACAGACTCAGCCACAAATTCGCCAGTCACGTCCAATTCCTCTTTCTCCACTTCCACTTCATAATAGGACAACAATTATTAGGGCAAAAAAAAGTTAAAGAGTAGACACGAAAACGAGCAGAAGAGGCGGTTCCCGGAGTCTGATTCTGACTAATCGGAATGGGGCGGAGGAAGGTGGAGATTAAGAAAATTGAAGACAAGAACAGCCGCCAGGTCACCTTCTCCAAGCGCCGCAACGGACTGATGAAGAAAGCCAGAGAACTCTCCGTCCTCTGCGACGTTGACGTCGCCGTTCTCATCTTCTCCAGCCGCGGCAAGCTTTACGACTTCTCCAGTTCTAACAGGTTATTCTTTCCCGTTTCCTCATTTCTTTTTCAATTCGACGTTTTTCCATGCTTTTTTCTTTCTTATTAACAGTTATTTTGATTTATTATCGATCGTCTTTACTTACAGATCACTGTTTTTTCTACTTGTTCTTCTTTCTCTGTTTTTTTCTGGACGAATATTCATATTGCCAAGAGCAATAGCTCACTGTAGAACCGAGTACTGACACGAAGGAGTTTAGTTCATAATTCGATTTGAATTTTTATCGATTAGGCATTAGTTTTTTGGCACGTGTAAGATAAATCCATATCCTATCAAAAAATTTAATAGGGGAGGTTGAAGAAGATGGAACCAAGCCTGAAAAGCCGTGCGTTTTTGTTAGTTTGTTTAGCCAGGTGTAGCGCGCTCCTGTTGCATCATCATAAATAGAGAGGAGGGAAGGATAGTTGATTTAGGGGAAATAGAATAGAATTGTTTCTATTTATGGCTCTCACATCACTTTTCCTAATATGGTAAAATATATACTCCCTCCATCCCATAATTATTGTCCAGTTTTACTAAAATGAAAGATTTTATTTTTGGTCAAACTTAGCTATATTTTATCTTAAACAACCGGATATACCCCTACATAAGTAATTGTTTAACCACTAAGATTTTATAGATAATGTTTTTTACTAAGGAAAAATGTGTAACTTGATCTATAAAAAGTCAAATTGGATAATAATTTTGGGACAAAATTTTTTGGACAAAGTGGACAATAAATATGGGATGGAGGGAGTAATACTGTTGCTGTTGCAGATAAGTTTTACCTTTCTCTTTTTTTGGGGGAGATTCTTCAGACTGTATTCATTGCATTTGGATTTGGATAAATACAAGTACACACAAGTACGGGACAAAGTTCTTTCATTCTTTCCTATTCCTTCAACCATGCGCCCACACACGACACACCCCCTTTGGTTTTGAGAGTCTTGTCCATTATAGCCTTTAGTGTTATCTCTTTTCTTGCCCCCTACATTAGCCACAGCATTTCTTCTAATCTAATATTGGAGTAAGGGGAATAAAATGTTTTGAATTATGATATGGAACTAAATTGACAAAACCACCATTGCGTAGATAAGACCAATGCATCTAGGTCGGTTATTTGCATGAGCCTATTAACCGGCCTTTTCAATTGATGACATAGTGAATGAAGGGGCTTGCTCGTGCTATCCCAACTTGACAAATGTTCGAGGTTTTATATGATAAATCGCATCTTTTGTTGGATCACTCGCGCATTTGAGGATAAGCTTTTCATATTTACTTGTTGATAAAGTATCATTAACTCATATTCACAATTCACCTTGCTCGGGTGGGGATGGGGATGCTATATAAAGAAATAGCAACCACGGTCGTATTAGATAACCATTCTAGTAAAAAAAAAATTATCGTGAATCTTTTGCTTAAGAGTGCATCCATAGGTAATTGTCCATTGCGTACTCCATAAAATAAATTTGATCGTAAAAGACAATCATCGATGATTTATGAAGTTGAAGTGACTTGTTTTTAATCATCCACAAATACCAAACACGAAAGACAAACACCAATGCTTGAAATGACTTATATTTAACCATCACCAACAACTAATCAAGTAGGTCAAAATTTGTGTCCATTGGTTAGATAGCATCTTTAGTGGCTTGGTGAGAACAAAATAACAATGATGGGGACGACATCGCAAATTGTATTTGAGGCTATGTTCTTTTTGCAATAAAGGGTATGGAGGTAATAATTACTTGATTCCTATTTCTTACTATTATTGTTTTGTTAAATATAAGGGGCTGATTTTACCTAGTAATGAGATAAGTTATACGAAGTGACAAGAACCCTATGTCATCTCTTCAAATTCTCTTTCATCTTAAAGTTTATTAGTAAGAATTAAAATAAAATCAAAAGGCCACCCAAAATTGAGCCCTCATAATTTGTGCTAGAAAATTTTGGCTTTCCCAAACCTAAATCATCAACTCACTTTTTTTATTCTGAAGAATTTTCATGCAAAAATAAAGTCGATGAGGTAAGTTGAATCATTGATATGAATGGTAGTGCAAATTCACTTGATTAAAAATTATTGTAAAAGATTTATTTTCTTAATTTATTCAAAATTTAAAATTTCATTCGTATATTTATGCAAAAAAAGAAAAGCAACAATCATCAGATAATAACTAGTTTGACATATATTTAACATGCCTAACGTAAATAAAGGTTCTTTTAATGAAGAGCTATTCTTTTCATCATATATGAGATCCTTTTCATGATTTCCTTCTCAAAATAAAGAACACCTCCTGAGGAGTGACCGTGGAAATATACCAGTCTATGGCCTAAATAACAAATTCTCCCGCTGATCAACTGAGACTAATTTTCTTACATATCAAACTTTGCCCAATTGTAGATAAAACATAGAGACGATCTTCTCATTTCTAAGAGAATTTTTTTTTTTAATTAAACAACCATCTGCTATTACAATACGAGCCATTTTGAAAACCTACACTATATGATTGGATACATTTCATTTAATACGATAAAAATGACTTCATGGCACCTTTTAAACTTGAATAAAGATTGTGATACATTATATGAAAAAGATCCTTGAATTCAAACCAGAATAAGCAATAATAATTGATAGTTCAATTTCTCAATCTTTTAGAATTATGAGTGGCATGGTTGGGGATTGAAAATAAATCAACCTATACACATTAGTGGAAGATATTTCCAAAAGTTAAGGATTAGAATTGTCCCATAAAATGTATAAATCGAATTACAACCATGCATGTTCTAAGAGTTGCTTAATAATTCATCCTTCAGTGTTAGCCGCTATTACATGTTTATGAGATTGCCTTCAAGGCTTACACAACTTGGCATGTCATAATAATGATTGGCAAGGCGGCCGCCTTTTGGAGCTAAATCTCTAGGGCTAAAACTTCGGCCAATCATTTAATAGCTTTAGAGGCTAATCAAGTAGAGTAAGTTAATATCACATGTATGTACTAATTTTCTTGAAAGATAGGTGACTCAACCAAATGGTTTATAGGCTTGCATGTGGGAATCAATTGTTCTCGCTATTCATGAACATGATGGCTCGTGTTGTACTATGTATCCTTCTTTATCACTGCAGTTTTCAATCAATTCATAATGATTTCTTTTTGGGTGATATAAATGGCAGACTTATCGTGACAAAACATATCATGAGTTGCAATGTTGGTTGCTATCTTCATCCTTTTTAATTGCCACCTTCTAATTTAGCTCAACTTCCAATATTATGTTGAAGTTATTTACTTGAAGAACAACATATTCTCGGCCTAGATGCAACTTTCATGGTACAAAATAAGAATGCTACAATCTAAGCTAATATCGTGAGATTAATTCTGAAACAAAAATTATGTACAAAATCAAAATTAAAACTGTAATCGAGAGGATATTATTATGAATCTTCTTTTATTCTCCCCGTTCCTAGCTCATCCTCAAGAACTTCCTTGGATATTTACATAAGCCACTTGCATAGTTGAAGTTTTATTCTTTACCTTTCCCATGTTAAAATATAGTCTGATACACACTACAGATCGATACATTGCACAGTCGGAGAAAATGGTCACCATCAAAACTTACGGAAAACTAATTGAATGACAAAGGAAATCAATTTGTTCCCAGTGTATAACCCTTATAGTATTTCAGAGAGCGAAGGTATATATTTTGATACTAAAGATTTTGGCAAAAAGATCCAAAATGTAAGAAAACCCTTTTACAGCTTCGAAACTAAGAAGTGCAATGACTGGGAAAAAACCAACTAAATGAAATTACACCAATAATTTTCTTTAAATTTGGAACTAACTCGAGAACTTTCAATATAATTGAATGACGATAGAAAAGGCAAGGGAGAAATAAAATAGGCAATTACGGTAAAGGGCATCTTTTTTTGGAGGGGGGGGTGCAAAACAATGATTTCTTGACCCAACATTTTGTTCCAACCAAATTATTAAACCCTAGTTTGATATGGTGTATCTATATTAACCCTTAGTTCTAACAACAACAATAATTCAATCTCTTTAGTGTCGTTGATCCTACACGTGTTCATGTAACAAATCATAAGAGTTGTAGGACATAAACAACTACATAAACTACGGCAACAACTAACCTTTTTGCTATACGCTGAAATTGGCTATAAGCATCATATGTGGTCATTGTACTTGATCAATGTGCATATCTTTGATGAAATCAAAATATTTCAACTACTTACTGGTATCAATCTATCTCTTAGAGGTACATATACCCAAGGAAAAGTTACGTTCACCTTTTCTTTTTTAATAACATCAGATGATTGTGTACATTGTTCAATGTAGATTAAGTTTTGGGAATTTACAATGCATTTAAACAATAGTTTCCTATATTATACACCTTTTATATTCATCTCTATTCAAAATCACCCGAACAAATCGGGCCATGAAGTGAACAATGTTTCTTTAAAAAATGAAATAATATAAAAAAAATTTGGACCTTATTCACGATCATAAAAAGAAATTATGAAATTACTTCTTTCTAAAAGTACCAATCATCAATTTTTTTTTTTTTTTGCACTCATTGCCAGTTCTCCCAACTCAAAAAGAAATTTGTCCATGAGCTTAGATTCTGTATAATCAACCTAGAGGAGTTATGCCATTTGGCAACCATTCAGTGTTCTACGTTAGCAAGAGGAGAAAAAGAACAAGAACAAATTAATGTTAAGAACAATTTTTTAACTTAGAATTATTTTCATTCCCATTTTACATCTAAGATGAATTCATATAATCTATTGTGAGATCTCAGTTCACGTTCACCAAAGAAATTAAAAGGGCAAAGCTAAAAATATAGTCTATACTATTGGCAGGATGAGAGATTACAAGCATGTTTCAGGATTGAATGCCAAGTTTCATTGAAAATTTAGAATAAAATGTTAACTGACCTTGTCAAGATGAATTTCCTAGTTTTTTCTTAATATCCAAACACGAGTTCTCACTAGTTTTGACTATTAATATTAACCATTTTCTCCTTTCAGAATGTCTGAGATGTGGCACAAATTTAGAGGGAAAAGTACCTTAATTTAGGAGGATAACTAGTATTTGGATTTTGTTTGATAATATTTTACTATCTTACATTTTGATCATGTTTCAAATAACACTACTTATATGAAACTACTACTTCTATCTTCGGAGAAATGTAATAGGTCTGATCACGAGATCCTCGCATCATTCCCATTAGCTTAGCGTAGCGAGGGTTAAAGACGTTTTCAAATTTCCTGTTGTCAATAGGAAGCAAAACATTGTACACCTCAAATAAAGAGATCTTGTAAACTTTTAACTTCAACTAACATTGAGTTGCAACATTTAGGTTGAAATAGATCAGATACTCAAGAAAATGAGAAAGTCATTATTTATCCGACCAAAAAAGAAAAAAGAGCCCTTAAATAATTATGGATGAAATTTAGACGACTGGGAACAAATAGAAAATCCTCCACTCTTCATAAAGGTAAAGTACTCCCGCTAGAGGGAATTTCTAGTTATTTTCGCACAAGTAAATGTTTCACAAGTTAAGTCTTCCAAAGCTAAACATGCGAAACGTAAGGCAAATACAAACAAGGAGAACATGAAATTTCTAATAGCAAATAGATTGGGATTGCGAAGGTTCACTTAGTTTTTGTCTTCTTATTTCGCTTAGACAAATAAATCATGGAGGTCCATGCAAAAAGTATGGGGAAAAAATAATATAAAAGGTTCCATATGAGCCTTGTCTATCACAAACTAAGTTGTGTAGAAACCCTAAAGTTACTATCTTGGAGATTGCGGTTTGAGTTCAACGTTGTATTAGGAGCAGCGGCGGAGGGAGATATAGTTCAAGTGGGGCAATTGCCCCAATTGGGAAAAAGTTTTGCTAGTAACCCCATGAAATTCTAGAAATCTTTTTGAAATCACTTTTTGCCCCTTCTGAATTGAAACTATTAAGGGCAAGGTTGTTAATTGAAAAGTTTTGAAAATTTTGCCCCATAATATCTAGAGAGCATGGCTCCCTGACCTCCGTCCCTGATTTGGAGACTAATTTTGAAAGACTCGTATAAAGGAACATCTATTAGATCAAGATTAATGCAAACATTGGGTAAGCTTTAGCCTTCTCCATATGGAGGAATAGTTGTCATCCTAGTAGGTATTTTCAAATTATGTTATGAACTTCTTTCATGCAGCCCTTTCAAGGCTTGCTTCATCATTGCGCAACCATCAGAATGTTTATTCATAAATTGTCTTCATATCACTTGATAATTACTGAATTTATTAGCAGTACAGCTCTATATTCTCTATTGACAAACAATGATGTTCTTATAATGTCCTGAAAATATCACATCACAACAATTGATAATATATTGCATCCCTCTCTATTGGACTGTCTTTGATTCTACAAGTAGATTGTTCATTGGTCTCAACTTAAAGACTTAGCTAATATCTTGCATTTGTGCAGTTTAGCTAGAGTCATTCAGCGGTATCACAGCCACATGCAAGTGGAAGGAGAGGAGTGTGCCGGAGTCCATGCCGAGGTAAGGCTAGAGATTTTACCTAGCTAGAGGTTTTGATGTTGAACACCACCCCCCCGGGTCAAGAAATTGACATGACGCTTAACCACTGCAAAACTGTGAGCAGTCTTGACTTTCACAGCATCTCCTATAATGCATGTTCTGTGTCTACTCCAATAAAGATAAGACTTTTAGTTTTTCGGGTTTTTATGATCCCTCACATTATTCAGGATCTGTAGCCACTTAACTGGTTAGTGAGAGACTCCAGATAGCAGCAGTTGATTATTAAGTTCACCTCTGGCTATTGCTTCTAGGTGGTGTGGCTTGACATGCATGATCTTAACATCCATTATATTACACCCCTGGGCCAAAGAGAATGGCCATCACTTTTAAGTTTGACTCATCTATAGCCTTCTTGCATAGCCAATAACCTTGGACAGGAACTATGCTCTTGTCCTGATTCTAGCTGTGTGCAAATATCCTTCTGTTTGCTTAAAAATTATTTAACCAGCTAAATAAGTTCCTCTATGTTTGATTGTGTTTGGTTCCATAGTTAATTTACTAGTTCCATTTATCAACAGCAGATATGCGATCCTGAAGGGAAAAGTCCCCTGACAATCAAAAAGATGCTGGAACATATAGAAAGGCAAGCACGACACTCTATCATCTTGAACCTGTGTAACTTCTGATATTTTATTTGCTTTCTACAGGGTTCTTGAGGAGCCAGATGTTGATAAACTAGATCTGAATGACCTGGTGCAGTTGGAAGAACAAATTGAGGACGCGCTTTCTCAGACAAGATCTAAAAAGGTTAGGCATTCTCTCCATAAAAAGATCGCTGTAAAAAACACGTGTTGAAGCTAGTGTCATGCATCCAAAAATACGTACTGTTAAAACCATCATTGCATGTGCATGAATCTTGCAATGTGTTGCTACTAGTGCCTATTTGTGTGGTTGTTATCAGATAATAATGCATTGAATACAAGAATTCTTGTAGTTCTAGTACTTAGTCTTTGATGGTGACCTTGAAAAGTCTGTGACCACCTTTGGTTTACGGGTGGATGCTTTTATGGCCCCTTTAGCTTTTGTGGGAGTCAATATCTTTGTATTAGCCAGTTGTTGTAATGGCAAATGTGGAGAATGGCAACGCCCATTATCTGAAGCTTTCTTTTTTCACCTTACAGTGCTGGATACTGTAGCTTATGCTTGCTTGAATTAGTTAAAATGATGACCACAATGATGTCTGTTTCTCTAAAGATTCAACCCCCAATGTCTTTGCTTAAAATTATTCAACTAAGGTAGTTTTGATTTCAGCATGTTTGATAACAAAAAAGTGAACCTTCTAATGGATGAAGTGGTGGTGAAACTGCAGTAAAAAATTTAAACAGTAAAAAGTTAGCTTATTACTTGTTACGTAACTACTTAATGAATTCAGCAATTCTATTTCAGAATTATGCATTCAGAATGTCAGCCTTTTTTCCTCACTCATCTAACTGAAGTGTCAATTCTAGCATGTACATGCCCTTTAGTCCTCTGCAATTCTTCCATATGCATGAAGTTTTACCTGGTTCCCTGCTGTGTGGTTTGTCTAGTGCTCATGCTTCTTTGTTTGGACAATCCTAAATGAATTGGTTTTATTATGCAGACACAGATGTTCAAGCAATCCATAGCAGGTCTCAGTGAAATGGTACGTCCATTCTTTGTCTCTAATTAAGCAGCTGACTCTTACAATTCTGGAAACTTTTAGAGTTTCCCTCTCCCAAGATGTCTAATGGTTTCTGTTTGATCTGCACTAATGGAAGTTTCCAGCTGAATGCACTATCCATGCTTTTTTAGCCAGTCCATGGTTCAACAAGCCTAAAATTTGTGCCTAATGAACCTAAATTTCTTCATGATACTCAATTCATGCCCTGATGAAAATTATGTATTGGAGGTTTTGTTTAGTGTAAACTAATGCCTAACTAGCTTCAGGAAAATGTTCAGTCTTCTCTAACGCTGTTTTTACTGCCTATGTTGTCTAACCCAAAAGCCAGAAACGATCTTCTTGCAATTAAATTAGACTTTAACTAAAGTTTTGCTGCTCTTAAGTTTCTTAACAGTGAAGTTTTGCTGTTCTAAAATTCCTTCTCTTGTTTCTTCTGTATTCCACTCGGGGATGCCAGAGTCTGAACATACGTTCTCCATGTTGGTAAACATAAACATGACCACCAGGAATCTAAAACAGTATGAATGAAATTGCGCTAGGGAGTCTTGGAGGCTGCTGCCATGGATTTATGGCTTTTTTTAAAAAAATAAAAAATAAAAACTTTGTTGGGATTTTAGCGTCCCTGGGTCTAGCACCAAACCCTTTGTTTGTAGGTAACGAATTCTCCCCTCTCTTATAATGTTAATATGAAATGATCATTCGAGGAGTCAAGGATTTGCTGGGCAAACAAAGAAAAAAATAAAAATAAAAAGCTCGCACAACTGAATAATACCAGTGGTTCCAACCTAGTTGGTTCATAACTTTGCTTGGACAATTTGTTCTTGTTACACAAGAACCCCTGCAAAACTGAGATGTGGTTGGTTTAGCCCCTCCAGCAGATCATGTTGAGGCAAAATGTCACCTGAACTTGATCTGCATGGATTGAGGTAAGTTTGTGATGCAGAAGAGGATTATTGAAGATTCATCATATCCATGGTTTTGTTCTGCGATCTAATCATCATCTTTAAAATTAACAATTACAATAAATGGCAACAATAGTGATGCAGTCTTTTACCTTGCTGTCTGGAAGTGCTATGGTATCTACTAACCTTCCTTATTTGAATCTTTTCCGAAGAGTGCCCAAATTTACTCAAAATGACATGTAAGTGACTGAAATGGAATGCCTGTCGGAAATTGGTATCTTTTGGTTACCTCCATTTCCTTGCTGCAGGAAAAAACGCTTAGGGAAGAAAACAAACATCTGCAAGACCAGGTAAAAAGCATAGCTCTAATGGAATTGTTACTATGAAAATTTACTCAATTGAAATCATCACATGCAAACGGAACTGCAGTTAGCTGGAGCTGGAAATCCAACAAACAGAACTAAGGACGGCATCGCTCTGGAATTTAGGGATCTTGCGCATGGTGAAATGACTTCTGGGCGGCAGCGACAACAGGTGGCTCTTAAACTACTTTAAACAGTAGAAAGCTATTATACCAGTCCGAGCTTAGCTACCATTGGAGGCTAAATACAAAGAAATAATCATTTAGGGATTCTGTCCCATGGCAAAATTCAAACTTTGATGTCTCACCATTCATGTGATCTAACAGTAACCAAGTGATTGGTTATTGATAGCCATTATGGTTTGATTGATTGTGCTTCTTGTGTGATAACTGCTTGTGCTTCCTAGGAAACCAAGTTCTTCTCCCTTTCTTTCTATATTTCGTGGTTATGGTGGCTTATTTTATAGAGCATGTCGTATACACTATATTTTTAATACATTGTTTAATGCTCCCAATGACACTTGGATTGATCTGGGAGGCAGGGCAAAAGCAGAACAGCAGAGCAGGAATCTTTTTCAAACTTCCCAGGATACGTCTTGGGTTTTGAATTTGAGGTAGGTAAATGTTCCAACTTTCATAACCCAGAACATGTGGCACTTGAACTGGGGCTAGTATAGTTTGAAATGGTCCCCAGATGATATGCTCCCCAATCACTAAGCTTGAAAATCCGAGGTGGAAGGATGAGAAAGTGACAAAAGGCTTCATGTATTCAAGGAGACCTACAATTAGTAAACAAACAGTAGGAGTGTATTTTAAGGGCCTTTAGAATAAAAAAAATTTGTGAGATTTTTGAAGAGCCGAATCATCATGGCTTGTGGATGAATCGAATGTAGATAGGTGAATGGTAACAAGCAGTTACGTGAAAAACATCTGATGAAACGGTGTATGAAGTATATTTGATGCTTGTAGACGTATAAAGGAATTCTTTGAAACTTTGTCCTGCTCTTCATACTGCAGTATCCAAAACTAACCTGAAAAACCCTCCCATATCCTAGTACTTTATGTAGTGGACCAGTTGTGACTTTAATGGGGCTCCAAACCCACTCACGAGATCTTCATGGGCAAATGCCTAGACCTTGAAAGATGACATTAAAAGGACTTACGTGTCAGGTTGAATCCTCTGTTAAAGTACAGAATTGTATTCCAGATACTGATACAGTTGGCAAAATGCCTTCATACAATTTCTAAAATGTGGTGTACTATCTTCTGGGTACCAAGTGTCTTAAAATTTGGGTGGCAGTTTGAACCAATCTATTCTTGAAAATATTCGCAGTAGAATGGAAATCTTCTTCTTTGTTAAAGATAAGAAAATCGAAATCTACTTGATTGCAAGTCAATTACTGTGGATTTTCTTTTCTTTTTTTCTTTTTTGGAAAAAAAATATAGTTCTCTCTTGTTTAGAATAAAGGGAGTATGTTAACAAGTTTCATGCTCATGTTTCGTTATGAGTAAACTTCTCACTATACATATTTTTTTGGACACCACATTGTCAACCATTCTAACTAATTGAGCGCAAGAGGTACTCATAGGAAATAAAGTAGGACAAAATCAAGTAACAAAATAACTGTTTTTTTTTAATTGATTTTAACTCTTCCATGCAAGACTATACTGCACCATTTGCGTACCAAATGTGCCTTTTGTTGAGCTTCCAAGTTTTCTCATTTACCTTTTCAAGATCATTTTCTTGGAGCCCTAGCCAATCTTTTTATCTCTACATGAAGAGAGGCTGACCACTAACATGAAAATGCTCCGACTTTCCTCACCGAAAGAAGCCTTTTCACTTCCTATCTTTTAGATGTATATTTATCGTGTATGCATGCATTTTTGAAGGTAGATTTATAATCCAATACGTGCATTCTAATCATAACTCTCAGAACTCAAGCTAGCAAGACTAAAACTAACATTGGAACCCATAGCATGTGAGCATTAATTGTGGAGTTGAACTTATGTTTAAATACTACATTTGGGCACAAAAGAAAAAAGAAGCAATAATACATCTGGGCGAAAAAGAAGCTATCTTTACTGTTTATATGCATTCATCTCTCATTTTAGGAATTGGGTGGTCGTAACAACAATGGTAGTAAACACCACTGGTAGTAACAACAACAATGTAAGTACGTATATATTGTGTGAATGCTTTGAAACCAAAGAAGCAAAGATCCAAGATTTGCCAAAACGCATATACATGAGGAAAAAAAAAAAACGAATAAGTAAATGCCATAATCATGCATGGACAAGTTATAAAATTTATAGAAATACCACAATGAGTATTTGTGGACAAAGCTAAGTTCAACAAGGAAAGAAAGGGAAAAAAAGAGGACAACTATAACTTACTGATTTTTTAACATGTCACGGCCGAGTTGAACCAACCTTTCTCGCATGCTATAATCCGTATTGGTTTTGGCATCTCTCTTGGTCTTGGTCCCTCTATATATAGTTTTCTTTTAACATTGGATTTTGATGCTTCGAAAAAAAAAAAAACATTGGATTTGAAGTGGGGCGACTAATCAGAAAAGCTAAAGCGGTTTCTTTTCTTCTTTTTTACTCGCCGAGAAAATCCAAGAATTAAATGGCTGGAAAATACGGTGGGTTTGCTATGAAAACCACTTATTGGGTCGAGGAACAAAAATTTTACTAGGAGGCGGTGACGTCCCACGTGAAGATCAAATATTTTATTATGGGATTACAAAGAGATACATTGAGTTTGTACGAGGAAACCAGATCCATTTTTTCTTTTTCTTTTTAGAAAATACTAGCTTACTTAAGACGAGGGAAAAGATGAGTCGGTCGCACCCCTTTTTTTTTAACCTAAAAAGGAAAAATAAGACAGCCTGTCTCTGCGCTTAAAAAGAACGAGAGACAAAATTGGAAGGGAAAAAAAAAGGGGGAGGATTTTTCCAGCCGCCCCCTTTACTACTTGGAACCACTATTTTTAAAAAATAACTATTTTACCCCTATCATTTAACAATATTTATACTTTAATAGTTAAACTCTTAATTTTATATTTATTTGAAAATAAACAAGTAATTAATTTTTACTTGAAAAAAATTTAAGATTATTCGTTAAGTTAATTTAATTGAATTGATATTAAAATATAAATTTTACTTCAATCATTATTTTAAAGATAATTTTTAGTTAAAATAATAATCATACATTTATAATGAAAAATTATAATTGTACTACAAAGATTGTGATAAATATGTGCAAATAGTTTAACTATTTTTTGCAATACAAAGATTGGTGATACTTAATGTAACTCAAATAATAAATTATTTATAAATTTAATGACCTAAAAAACTAGATTAACTAATTACCAAAAAAATCGAAAATTTTAAAAATTTTTAAAAAATTTGAAAATTAAAAAAAAAACGGCCGACCGAGCGGTCCACCCGTCCCGAGTTAACCCGAGACGGGCAAGGAACTCGTTCGGGTGGACGAGTTCCTTGCCCGTCCCAGGTTAACTCGGGACGGGTGGACCGCCCGGTCAGCTGTTTTTTTTTTAATTTTCAATTTTTTTAAAAATTTTTAAAATTTTAATTTTTTTTGTAATTAGTTAATCTAGTTTTTAGGTCATTAAATTTATGAATAATTTATTATTAGAGTTATTTTAGTTAAGTTATTTGATTTGAAAAAGGACAACGATAAAATGGTCCAAATTTGAAAGTGGTGGCTTCAAGCAGTAATTTTGGTGGATTGAAAAATAAACACCCAAAAAAAACAAAAGAAAGATTGCTTAAAAAGCCCATGATCTTGCAGCTCTCGCAAGCTCGAAAGGACGACGATTTGTCAATATCTTTGTTTTTTAAAATGGTACAGAGAAATTGAAAATTGTGAAGTAATTTCAACAACTATCTAGCTTTTGATTAAACTATAGGATTCGCCCTAACACTTGGCTTTCGCACGTATTAGCAGGATGTTAATTTGACGGAGGGACAGATTCCATTCATGTTTTGTGTTTCTTCAATTATGAAATAGCATTAGCTTGCAAGTTATAAACATCAGAGGTTCCAGATTTGTTCTATAGTATGTACAGTAATAGTACTACGAGAATATTGTTGATCTAAAATAAATTGTTTAGTTTAAAAAAAAATAATGAAATTAATGTAGTAAACGTGGGCATTTTACGATTAGATCGACACAGCTGCATTATCCGAACTAAAAGTAGTATGAGTTTATATCCATTCTTTCCGTTTCATTCCAATCATCTATATCTTATTAAAACCGAATAGAGATTAAATTACGACGACAACAATAATAAATCAGTGTTGAATATTTGATGCCTTTTAAATTTTTACCTAATGTATTATCATATACTCTTATCATTGTTCCTTTTGTATTTCTTCTTTTTTTTTTTTTTTTGATTTATCACTATCTAATTTTACCATATAGTTTCGTTATCTCCTCGAATATGGAAAAAATATCGTTCCTACCCAAAACTTTGCCCTCGTCGTCAATCATACCCAATAGATTTTCGGTCAGTCAACTTGACCCTAATGTTTGAAATTTTCGTCAATTTTGTCCAATCGGCCTATTTTCCATCCAAATTAACGAATCTCCGTTAGATTTTTAATTATAATAAATTTAAATATAAAAATATCCAAGTAGTTTGTAAAAATTTTAAAATAACCCCTAAAATATATAAAAATAACAAAATAGTCCCTTTTCACTTTTTTATTTCATTTTCTCTATTTTGTTCCATTTCTCTCAACTACTTTTAATGATCATAAAAATATATTCAGTTTTAAAAAAAATATTTATTTATTTCTAAAATCTACTTCAAAAGTTAATCTTTGTATAGTTGTAACCCATGATTGTATTTCTATAAGCATGTTAATTTTTTTAATAATATAGTTTAGCAATAAAGATACTATTTTTTTTATTTATTTTGTTCTTCCTAACGTAAAGATTAAAAACATTTAAAAGAAAAAATATTCCACATAAAAATAAAATATTAGCTAAAATAAAAATTAATATATCAGTGTAGTTTGGTATATTACAATTTAACTAGAGAGACTACATGGCATAATATAATTTATAAAAAATATGTTTATACTTATCAATACGAGGATTTAATATTTTGTAATAATTATTTGAGATGTTAATATATTTAACTAAGAGGAAGTCCTACTAGCTTATTCTATATGATTTTAGTTTAAAATAAATGAATGGAGGTAAAAATATGATAATAAGATGTTGTGATAGAAAATAGGTTTTAGATTCAAGAAGGAAAACTTATGTATGGAGGATTTGTTTTAAGATTTTAATTATTTTATATTTTAGTTATTTTAGTATGAATTATATTAATGCAAGTTATAGTCTCTTGAGTTAAATTGTAATACACTAAAATATCTTAATATTTTTTTATTTGAGCTAATATTTTATTTTTATGTGGAATATTAGTTTCATTTAGATGTTTTTAATCTTTATGTTAGGAAGAATAAAATAAATCAGAAAAATAGTGTCTTAATTATTTTATATTTTATTTATTTTTTTATGAAGTATATTAACGCAAGTTATAGTCTCTTGAGTTAAATTTTATTATACTAAAATATATTAATATTTTTTATTTGAGCTAATATTTTATTATGTGAAATATTAGTGTCATTTAAATGTTTTTAATCTTTACGTTAGGAAAAATAAAATAAATCAGAAAAATAGTGTCTTTATTGCTAAAATATATTATTAAAAAAATTAACATGCTTATAGAAATACAATCATGGGTTACAACAATGCAAAGATTAATTTTTACGGTAGAGTTTGAAAATAAATAAATATTTTAAAAAAAACTCATATAATATATTTTTATGGTCATTAAAAGTAGTTGAGAGAAATGGAACAAAATAGAGAAAATGAAATAAAAAAGTGAAAAGGGACAATTTTGTCATTTTTATATATTTTAGGGATTATTTTTAAAATTTGTACAAACTACTGGGGTATTTTTATAATTAAATTTATTATTTTATTTAAAAACTAACGGAGATCCGTTAATTTGGATGGAAAATGGACCGATTGGACGAAATTGGTGAAAAGTTTAAACATTAGGGTAAAGTTGACTAACCGAAAATCTATTAGGTATGAATGATGATGAGGGCAAAACTTTGGGTAAGAACGACATTTTTTCCCCTCGAATATCAGTGATCGTCGCACTTAAACTCCATCCCCAAGTGTAAAGGGCGCTCTTTTGACTTCTTACACTCTACAATTTTTTATTTTTTATTTTTTTGAAAAACACACTCTACAATTCATGAAAGCACACGCATAGATGCAATTACCTACTCGACGCCGAAGTGATCACTAAATTGTTATTTTTACTTTTTCTGTCTTACAAAAATAATTTTTCACATTTGTGAATTAATTAATGGGGATACAGGGAATACAAAATTAAGAAAAAATCAGAAGCCATATATGCACGTACGAAGAGATAATTTGTGGGGTGGTTAGCTAGACATCAAATAATGCATCTGAATCACGACTTTGACATAATACTTTCATGATACTATAATTTATGTACCTAAATTTAGGCAAAATATCATCATAAATTCAGATCGAGAAACATACAGTAACCCTATTCTTAATTTTATTTAGATAATAAATATTTTTTCCATGTATGTTAAAGGTAAAAAATAATCTATGAGACGGTATAAAATCGATATTGAGACCTTACTGCGCAATATTACATATTTTTTACGAGCCCGAAACCTGATTACTCATAGGCTATGGAAATCAAATAGGTTTTCCTTTTAAATTTATAATAACAAAGGTTGTCGATGGCTCCAGATCAAGTTAACTAAAGTTTTTTCAACTGAGAAACACGAGAATCATGAATTTTGCGTAAGACCATCAAAATTATGACCACGATATTCATGTTTGCGCGATTTGATGTTGAGGTTTACGAAAAAAACAAATGAGAGTATAAAACCCCAACAACCCAAATAATTTTGGAATATGAATAATTGCATAATATAATAGCCTCTTTTTTTCAAATAGATCTACTATGTAAAGCCTTTATGTTTTATATTTATTTCGTTCCAAAATAATTATAAATTTTAAAAGTGAAATTATTCCAGCTCTTCTAAAAAATAAAAAAAGAAGAGGCGAGAAATAATTGTAAACTTTCAAAGAGAAATTATTCCAGCTCTTCTAAAACAAAAAAAAAGGAAAAAAAAGAAAAAGAAAAAGAGGCGAGAATATACATTATACTGTACTCGTATGAAAGGCCACTAAGCCAGACTGAGAAGCAATGAGTTGGATCATTTGAGCATAAAAGTCACGACATAGCTTTCTCAATGCTTAATTATTGCTGTGTGTGTCACATTCACAATAGCTCTTTTTCAACACTTTCAAACCAAGTAGCCCCCTTAGCTTCAAAACGTAACCTTTAGATTCAACACTTCGATTGTAGTGGCCCATTTGGGGATCCACTTTGTTAATTCGGGTTCTCAACTACACTCTTTAATTTTATTTTATTTTTTTCCATATTACAGGGTGTCCATGGTCAGTAACAGTAACTAATCTCCGCTCATGGTGACTAATGATATCAGAGCAAATTGATTCATCCTTCTTAAATGTCCAACTAATTTCTTTCCTTTTACTTTTTCATTTATGTACTATTATTAATTATTAGAAAGAAATGGGTGTGAGGTGCTACTTCCGGTCTTATATGTATAAGATACAAATTTTAATTATACTTAATTTTGTATATATTTTCTGTTAAAAACATATAGTCTACATTCAGTTGTGAATTTGTTTGGGACAAAAGAGTAAATAAGATAAGAAAGCATACTTAATAGTCTAGTTGGCTTAAACTTTGATTTTGGATGGAGAAATATTTTAACAAGGACACATTAAGAGCTTCTTAACTTATTAGAAAATATTGTTCTTGGAGAAAATAATTAAGTGACTCGTATAGAAAAGTATAATAAAAGGTTTTGTATTAAAGTACATGTTAATCAAAATCTCTTCTTGATTGATTATAAGTTATAGATAAACAAAAAATAAAAAATCAAATGTGCTCAGGAAATGAAATATCGCAAAGCGCAAAAAGCTGGGGACCAAAAATTCATTTACATTTTTACCTTTTTAGTGAGATTCTATCGTTTTTGTTAGCAAACGTTTAATATCATATTCTTTTTTCTGGTACAATGAAAGAGGTTAATTTCAGAAATAATTATAAATCATTATATTTCGAAGTTCTAATCATGATATTACGTTTAATATCATGATAATGTCCTTTTAAGATGTCGCAGCATTGCGGCAAACTGCTATTGACCGGGGGTAAAATCATAAACATTTATGTTTTCGTTTAAACACAAAAAATAATCGATTTTCTACCCTTTTTCTAAATTTTGTATTATTACATGACTGAAAAAGCTAGCTTAAACGTTTTCTTTGTCAACCGGAAAGCTCAATGGTCAATTAGCACTGGACACGCAAGTCGACCGTAAGCAAAGTATATTAGTACACGCGCCTTCACCAAGGCGGTGATACGAACTTGTGGACATCGCTATCCTATGGCCAAAAAGTTTGGACACTAGCGAGCGTTCAAATCACTCGCTCCTACAACGTGTCATCCTTACCATCTATCTCTATGCGCCTATCCAAATCCAGCACAATACGTTATCTTCTTCTTCCTCCGTAAATGGATAAAACTTTGTAGTATCGAAATGGCATCCATGTAGATAGATAGACAAACCTACCCCCACACAAAACAAAAAGTAACAAAAAGGCCTCACCTTTTAGTCCCTTTTTAACACATTGGACTTTTGATTGGTCCAAAATTTATATGAATTTTAGCTTTCAAATAAACGGAAATTAATTTCTTTATGATAACAGGCAATCATTGTTTCCCTCCAAACTAATTAAAAGTACGTTTGTATCGTTTTTTTAGTGCGTGTTTTTAGGTAATTTTTGTAGTCCTTCTCTTTGAAAATTATTGTTTACTTTGATATTTCATTTTTAGTACAATTTGAATTAGAAATAAAAACTTAAACAGGACAATAATTATGTGACGGGAGGAGTATTATAAATTTAAAAAGGTAGATTGATAATATAAAAAGAAATATTGAGACGGGAAAATTATTAATAAATTAATTTGGAAAAACCATCAAGAAAATGAAAAAAACATAAACTTTCTCCTGATATTTTCAAACTTATTATCTCCTCCTGTAGAAAGTAATAGAGGATATTAAGATGAAAAAACTCAAAAAAAAAGAATACTCGTTAATATAAAATCTATCCGTCTCAAAAAATACAAATATCCTCCCACATGATTTTATCATAAAAATCTGCTATAAAACACGTAAATTACTAATAAAATACTAGTACTAATTATGTCAATAAATAATTAAAAAAAATACTACTAGAGTTAGAAAATCTATATCAATGTCATTTTGACATTTTTGTCTAGTGTGTGTTCTATGACAGGAACAGCACTCGTCAAATATTGCCCCCATGTCCCATCATTTTTGCACTTTTGGGCTTTGCTTTCTACGAACTTAAAAAAGAAAAAGAAAGAAAATCTAATTTCCACAGTGTAAATCATAAATTGCCTTTAAAGATTTAATTACATGTGCTAATGTACACTATAATAGACAATATAAGTTTAACATTGGCAAATGAGGATCTGATTCAAAATTCCTCTATAATTAGGCAACCAATGAGCGGCGATCTATTCATTTCTAGTGGTGTCTTAGATTTTACATATAAATTTATATTATTTACTCATTCTCAAAATAATTATTCAGTTTAAAACTTTATTTTAGTTCAAACACTAAAAGCAAAATGTAATCCAGGATAAAAGAAATAATTAGTGCTATATGCATGAAAAAGTTTGACAAAAAAATTTACAGAAAATGAAGTAACTATATCTTAATTATCCCTTAACCTTTAAATAGATAAACACTAAAAGAAGAAGATATAAATGTAGACGGTTATGATTTAATCCTGTATTTTTATTTTATTTTATTTTTGGCAAGAAATCATTATTGTTAAGAAAGAAAAGAAAACCAGGTATAACTACACAAAACCAGGTAAAGAAAAAAGAAAAGAAAAGAAAAAAAAGAAAGGAGGTGCATTCGGAATGCGAGTCGATCCGGACCAAATTAAAGAAAGGAAAAAAAAAAGAAAAAAACCACTAAAGAAAAGAGGAAGCTGATGAGTTGTGTATAAATATGCTAAGATGGACAGAACAGAAGCATCCAATATCCAGTCATTCGTTTTATCATCGTTCTATTATTTTGATCGTTCAGTTCATTTTATCCCAAAAAAAAAAAAAAACATTTAGTTGGAGTTTTTAAAAACCATATTCAAACCTAAAGGCAAAACTCCTACAGAAAAGGGAAAAGAAGAAGGAAAAAAGAGGATAAAATCTCCCACATCCTTAACTCTATCCACTTGCCTCGATTCCCTCAACCCCAATTCCTCCCTTCGCTTAAATTCTTTTTCCCCTGATTTTTTGGATAAAATTTTTGGACACCCCCCAAAGGAACAAAAATAAAAAAAACAGGAAAAAAGTTTTAACGATGAGGAGCCAAGATCAACATTTTCAACCTCAACAGCAAGATAATCAGCAGTCTAAGGTGTTTTACGAGCTTTCGGCTATGATCCTCAACATCCTCCGATCTCCCCCGACGCCTTTTGACTTTCCCGACGACGTCACGTCGGCTTCCGGCGTCTCCGGCGGTCAGTCATCCGCCGTCGGTGTCGGCGGCAGGAGGCAGCAGGTGGGTCCGATGGGGGCCATGGGGATGGGCCAGATTACGCCGGCGGGATTCGCGTCTTTGTTACTCGGGATTTCTCTGGCGCTGATGCTGTGTGGATCGGTTACTTTTTTTATTGGGTTCATGTTGATGCCTTGGGTTGTTGGTTTGGTGATGGTTTTTTATTTCGTCGGGTTGGTTTCCAGCTTGTCCGTGCTTGGACGCGCTATTCTTTGTCACAGCTCTTCTTCTCCTCCTTGTTCTGCCCCTCCTTCTCCCAGAAAGGATTGTTCTTGTAAGATTTTTAAAATCTTAGTTATTGACCTTCGCGTATTCCTGTCCTGATCATCTTGGTTTTTTGCTTGTGTCGTTTTGAGTTTTGTTGGAAGGGGAAAAACTATTATGAAAATGGGATTTTGTTTTTAGCCTTGATCGATTCTTGAGGTTTCTTGTTTTTAATGTGGGATATAGATTGAAGTTGTTTAATTTAGAAAGACTAGGTTTCTAGTTTCTAAACAAATTACTTGTTCTAATTTTTTATTGTCGCGATTAACCGAATCTTTGATATGATCTTTCGTTTACGCGTCCTTTTTTATTTTGCCTTTTTATTTTGACGGATCTTTGGATTGTATGTATTTCGTGTTTAAGTTAGGAATATTGTTGTTTGAGCACCAGGATTTAAACCTAAAATCCAAACTCACCCGATAGTGGCATTGATTGCCTTGCTTTTAAATTCACAATCTTTGCTTTATCCAAATTTCAGGGGATTTATTTTTCTTTGGTCGATTTGGAGTTTATTTTCTGTGGATTGGCTTATATGGTTCTACTATATTGTCGCTAATTGGTTATTTAAGCTAAGATATGTCTACCTTTTGAGGGGTAATACCATTTAAATGGTGGAATATATCCTGAATGGTTGATTTTGTTGTTTGAAAAGGGCTATTAAACACACACTTAGATGCATCTGGCACCACTGGACACTGTTCTTGTCCATTCTTGAACTCTATTGGCTGAGCATTTAACTAAATTACATCCCCTATTATGGTGAGCTGTGTAAGAAAAATGTTGGGTTAACAATTCTAGTTTACTATCTGAAACTCCCAAGTGCGAAGTGGAACTAGACAAGGTCATGGCATGTTAAAAGAACTAAATTTGGAAATGTCTCTGTTACCAAATAGCATGCTAATTATATCCATACAAGCTCAAGTTCTGTTTGTTTGCTTTATATTTTTTCTTCTGCAGAGTGTGCCTTTTAAGTCTAGGCAGAAAGTACAGGAGTATGTGTTTGGCAGCCAAGGGGAATTTACATTGTACTTTGTAAGAATGATGTTGCCTATCATCCCTTCCTTTTGGTTTTCTTCCTTTGTTTTGTTGTGTTGGGGCGTCTAGGCACTCTTGCTAACAAGGTGGGTTTTGTTGGGAAAATATTGTTTTGGAGGATTGTTCAATAACTTGTTGCTTTGTCTTCCAAGATTGCTTCTTTTATTTAAGTTGAAATTGAGTTGAATAATACGTGCAAAATGTTTGCTAGTGCAGCCTCTGTTAAAGTCTTTACTGGTATTGCTTCCGTTTGCACTTTTTTCACCCGACTCAAGTGATTAGGAAAAAAAAAAAAAGAAAAGTGCTTCTTTTGGTTTCTTTGAGTTGATTTATATATTGATCTAAAATGCTTGTTATCTCATTATCCTTTTCCGGATTTCGTTGTGAGAGCTGCTTATGGTTGCACAATGAATTCACTGAACTGTTACTAAAGAATTTTGTTTAAACCTTCTGCAGCTTGGAAATTCTCATAGGCGGAACATATACACGGCTTGTTTGAGCAAGGGTGAAATTTGCTTTTTGTTGGCTGCCACAGCTGCTTTCAGCGATATAGGAGTTGGAAGCTTCAAGTTGCTCGATATTGGTTACCAGACAATGGTGTACCTTTCATTGGTCAAATCGACATGTTGATATGTATGGCATCTTTACCTGATGGAACTGAGTTGTTCTGTTCTGTGCAATATATTGAAAGAAGCATACAGGGTTTAGTTATTATTAATACCCACCTAAGAAAAAAGAGACCAAAGCAAAAGGGGAAGGGAAGGAAAATCGATTTCTGCTGTCATTTATTTTGACAACAGGGCAGAGTATATTTTTCTGCTAATGCTTTTTTGTGCTCTGATTTATATAAAAGCATTAGTACAGTAGCAATAGTTCAATCTTGAATCTTCCCACTGCGTTACGATTGTGTGTGAAAAACATAGGCATGTGATCTATCAGTGAAATTATTTGTGCCTTCTCCTTGGTGTGAGTATGAGCAAATACAAAGTTTCAGAATTGGGAATGGTATTGGAATGTAAATTATAACATCAAGTATTCATTTCTGTCTCCTAATGTGAAAAATGGTTTCACATGACCAATAACTGAGCAAATGTGAAGAGTTCCATCAATTAGGCGATTCTCCAAATGCTCGAGCAAGTTAATCAGTAGTTTGTTTAAGCAATTTAGTCTCCGTGACTGACTTTCTACAAAAATCGTCTAAATTTTGATTCTAGCTTGCAAAATGTGAAATGAAGAACACGAATTGCATTCATACAAGGCCCTAAACATCGACATATTCCGTGTGGTATTCAGCCAGATGCCCACATCTACATCATCAGCACCGCAGTAGTGATTATTTTGCCGTCTCTGGCACTTTCTACTCTATTCGGTGAATGAAAATGAAACGCTGGACGTCATTTGTTTTCTCCACACACTACGAAAGAATGGGATTAATAATGATGCAAATCACGCACTCGATAGTCCATACCCGAACGAGCCATTTGCGCATATTGATTGATACACGCATTAAAGGTCAATTGGGATGTCATCAGATTTTTCTGCGGGGAGATCATAAGCGAGAGCGGTGTCATGAGTGGATAAAAAATGGAGTCAAGCTCAGGACAGGGGTGAAAGATAGATTCCAAATTCTAAAGTAGAAAAAGAATCTATGATGGAACGAACGAAGACGGAAAGAGGGCATTATATAACTGTTTGCAAGTGGAGACCAAACTTCAGACCATCCAATTTTCACCTACTAATAACCCAATCTTTCAGCATGAGGCAACCAAAAATTTGAGATCCAAGCCAAGAAAGCCTTAAAAGAAGCAAACTACTCCTTTTTGTATATGTCTTCCAAGTTACATAGGAAAACAATCCAACTAGCATGTGATTTTCATTCACCTAGGAAATAACTCAAACAACATTAACACCACTTCACAGAAAACTAGCCCGAAAGATGAAAACACACAGACCCACTTCAATATTCAATCTTCTGGAACTTACAAAGAGAACAACAACAATAACAAAAGAAACCAGAAAATTTCAACATAAAAATAAACAGGAAACTAACAGAAGAGGGGTGATGACTTTGATTAGATTAGACAAAGTAAATTTCTAGCCAGTATAGATGTGAACCCCAATAGCAATGAGGAAGATGGTAATGAGGCCGAAGAAGATGATGGTGTGGACTAAAATGGAAAGCCCACTGGTCTGCATATTCCCAAACTCCACAACTCTTGATCTCCCCGGCAGCTGAAACAGCAGTCCTGGACTGAGCAGCACGAACAGCACCACCGCAATCACCACCGGCCCCCAATCTGCCATCTTCAATTTGGATCAAACTACCCTTCAAATTTCGTAACGCTGGCTGGATTTAGCCCTGTTTATTATATAGTGAGGTTAAAGCAGGGGAAAGAAGTGTATATTAGTACAAAAGCTAGGCGCAGGCACCACCGACTCCTTAGGATTCTTGCCTTCTTGGAAGTGTGAAGAAAGAAACGAATATTAATAGCAAAAATGATTTTAGGAGTATGGGAGGATGGACAAACGGCTAAACCCACAAGCATTTATACAAAGGGTGTTTTGTTAATGTGTAACTGCAGTACTTTGTCTTCCACATTTTCCCGAGTTCATTTTCAGTCCTTCATATTTAAACGATCCTAGGAATTAATATCAATATTTGTTGTGTTGAGAGTTGCATAAATTACTTCAAAATTGAAGACTCCTGTTAAAATAGAGGCATGCAACATGACATTCCAGTGGATCAATTCAAGCATCCTTAGGAGTTTATGACGCTATTTGCTTAAAAAATTTATGTCTTGATTGTCGTTTTAAAATGATTCAACAGACTAAATAATTATTTTGCAGCAGAGACAATAATAAAGTTTACATTGCAATATGGCAATACAAGAATTCATGTAAACTTTGAAATCATTATACCTACTAAATGATGACCCTTGGCACATAATTGAAGTGTCATTTAAAAGTTAAGACACTCATTAACATACAAAAAACGTTTTGAATTGATAAAGATTCAAAGTTGAGAGTACATTATGCAAATCCGTGAAAGTTTAGGGAAGTAACTCCAAATTATATAAGTAGTCTTCATCGTCACAACTCACAATAGAAAAGAAAAGCTTTTCAATTTTTTTAGTATTATTTCTGGAGGGATGAGTTTTGTTTTTGCATGGTGAAGGGGTGGACAGATGCCAAAGCAATTTAACACTGCTATCTTGATGCTGACGCCAACTAAAATCAAAATTGTTTAAATTAAGTTAATTCCACCGAATGACTTGTAACGAAATCCGCAACTTTCTTTTCTTTTCCTTTTGGTAGTATTCATTTTTTCTTTCGTAAAATATTGTCCTTTTAATTATTTAGGTTATTGCTTTCAGTCAGGTCTTTGCTCCCAATATTCATGTGATTAACAATTTTGCGACCAGACAGTTGTTATTTGTTATAGCATTAGGAATTGATTTTATTTTATTGCTTCTAGTTCTTACCTTCCTTTTTTCTGGAGTACAACTTATGATTGATTGTTTTTCGTGTGAAATTAGTATAGCTTTGAAATAAGAACTTGGAAGAAACTACTTGTAACTTTTCATTTGTGAGGTTACACCTGTCGAACTAGTTGTTTTACCAGGACAAAAAAATAGCAATAATAATAACCCGGTCTATATATATTTTATCTATAATAAGCTATATCTATAAAAGCTACGCTTAGGAAAATAGTTTCTTACAATCTAATTGACCGGGCGGTCGTCACGTGACATAAGTCTTGCATCACAGTTACATCATTTTTTAATTGTGAGCGAAATTATCTTTCAATAAATAGATATAAATCATATTTTAAATTACGGGCAAAAGTGTCTTTTAATAATTAAACATTATAAACATTAATATTCCAGGACATTGTTTATTATTTTATAATTTTCATATAATAATCAATAATAATTTTTTCCAGATCTTAATAAACAAAATCCATGAAAATTCAATAACAAATTAAGTATAATAAATTATAAGGTGTGTTGCACATCGGGCGGCTCAAGCACTAGTTTGTATTAAAAAGGGAGGCTTAAACCAGCTAATTAGCTTCAACGTGGCATCTGAAATGCACCGAAAGTGATCCTGAATCCCCCGAAGTAATTTAATTGGCAAAGGTGACGGTCAATTTTATGAACATAATGCCTACGTTTTATATTGGGGGACTTTGGAATGTATAGATGTCGAACTCCTAATCTTGCCATGTGACCATAACTGAATTTGGATTAAGATTGTAAGAGATGATGAAATGAGCGTCACAGCTCACAATTTTTCATCAAGTACTTCTTTCTTCTTCTTCTTATTTTTTACTAATATCTTTTTTTTCTTATATTTATCGGTGTTTGATAGTTTCTCGTATTATTAAAAATTTAACAAGAGTTTAAAAATAGATTGATATAAGGATAGAATGTAACACGCCCCACTAATTTGAGATCTAGCTAATCGTGGATTTGTTTGTGTTATACTGTGTCTTGTACAAAAGATAAGTACATTTTTTTTTCTCATATTTCACATTTTAACAGATATAATTGATTAGGAATCGAATTAATTATCATTATGGTGTCTACAAACAACTTAACCCCGGACCAAAAAACAAATCATGGTGTAGCGGTTTGCGTTTCTGTTTGAAATGAATCGTCCAGTATCAATGGCCCAAAATTTCCAAATTACAGGAAAGAGCACAATCTGGGATTTATTGCTGGGCCCAAAATTTCAGAACGTAGACTTAGGATCCACTAAGGCCCATCACGACAAGAAAAGTCTCCACCTACCTAACCTTCACTTTCCCACTCCACTTGACTCACAAAGAAAGAATCCAAACCGATCAATGCATTGAAAAAAAAAGGATTCCTTAAAAATCCGTTAAAATAAAGGCTAAAGAGGGGTTGTTGAGCAAACAAGGAAGATGCGATTAAAATGCCAATAGGTAATCGATAATATAACTTTGTAGTACAAAATCAAAAAAGCGTTTCATACTCTCAGATGAACATCCAAAGTAGTAGCGTGTATATATATATATAATTGTGGTCGATCGGAAGGAGGTAGAGTCTAAATCAATTTAGAGGTGTATACATATATGTATATGTATATGAATAAAGAAATTAGTCAATATACAAGTGGATCTTGATGGCAATGAGGAAGACACAAATGAGAGCAAAATAGAGCAAGGAGTGAACCATGATGGCGGCGCCGCTGGTCTGGAGAGTGCCGAATTCAACAAACCTATGAGGTCCAGGCACTTGGAACAGCAGCCCCGGCGACAACAGTACGAACAGTATCACCGCCACAAATATTGGACCCCAATCGGACATGACGATGAATTGATGATCCCTTTTTTTCACTTATGATGAATGAGAGAGATAGGGAAATTAAGGAGGCTTGATAGGGATTAATATAAGTAAGTAGAAGAGGGAATTTTGATTGGAATTTGGAAAGGGGAGAAGAAACTTAGAATGGAAGAAAATGGGAGGAATGAAATGGTGGGATTGCATCATAAACAAACGTAATACAAACAAAAGGGTGGGAAATTAATGGGAAGTGGAAGCTGATGGAAGATAGGGATTGGGGGAGAGGGGTAAAGTTGGTTTTGTGGTTCTAAGTTGATTGGGATACTCTTTCCTTACATTTCTCATCTAAGAGTCCATTGCTTCTTCACATTTTCTTCCCTTCACGTGAACTCGGCACCCTTCCAACTCCCAATCTGTCTTTTTTTTTTTTTCTCCCTCCCATTGATTTTAGGCCACAGTATACTGTATATACGCGACCGACATGACTTAAAATGTCCACCAGTTTACCAATGCAACGAAGAGATTACTTACTATATCATACATGGTGAAATTAAATTAAAACAAAGTTACATTATGAATTTACGATACACTTACAGCAAAAGCACGTGTCCTCCATAAGGTCACAATATCATTATTACTCCACCAGTAAAATTGGCTCATTATATCTGTTTGACGGCTACTTTGCACAACGATGAAGATGGGCCTCGTACGAGAACTCATTGGGTTACGGCAGATGAGTACCTTGAATGGGCTCGTTGTCAATCATTGATGGGCTTCAATAAAAAATCTTTCTAGGAACCACTAACAGTATAAAAACCAATTTTGTCAGAGTAGAGAGAATCATCATCAGCTGAGCTCGCTGAAGTTCATTCCTTTATGAACGGAGTCCACTTGTGACTTATGAGTGCGACACTGTGACCGTTTTTGAACTCTTAAAAAGTAAACCTACGCAAGTGGCGGCAGTATATGTTGACAATGCGCCTGCCACGTCACGAAATGGATTCAAACATTAAGCCCCGAAAGAAAAACCCCGAAAACCATTAATTTTAGCTCTGTTTGTTTGCATTTTTTATGATTTTTTCAGTATATTTTATTAATAATTGTCCCATCTTAGTACACTTTTTTAATTTTTTAATACATTTTTTTACATTTTCAATACAAAAAATACCTAAAAACACACACTAAAAAAACAAACCAAACATATTTTTACATTTTTTTTTCTCACAGTTTTACTCGCTAATTTACTCAACACGGGTTTTCCCAAAATGCGATGATATTGGCCTGCATTACCATCAAGTTTCCCGGCTATTTACTCTTTTTTTTTTTTCCATTTTAAGGATGAGAGGGGATATACAAATAGTAGAACGTGATAAAAAACGTGATTAATTTATTCCATAAAGTAAGACACCCGCTTGTGGTATTTGTTGGAGATCAACAATGGTGGTCCCTCACTGGTGTCTACTTTTCACTTCTTTTTCTTTTAGTATATACTACCATTTCAATCAGGTTCAACTTGATCTGGTTTCTACCAAAAATTCCTCTCATTATTTCGATATGGGATAATTCTATATGGATGAATCTCCTTAATTTGAGACAATGGCCCTGGCCCGTTGTTTGTCTGTTAATGTACTCAACTTTCATCATCTACTTTGTCCACTTCAGGTCTGGTTAGTACTACCACCAAGCACTGGTATTTTGACCATTTTTTATTGGAGTAGCTTTTTTTTTTAAAAAAAAAAGAAAACTACATGTTAAATTTTAAGATTTGTGTTATTTTTAATACAAATCTTAACATTTGATGTATGAATTTTTGTTTTGATAAAAGAGAAGTATTATTAACTATAACTTATATTTAATATTGGGTGATGCCGTAACGGTATATTTTTTATCCTCTGTGTCATTTTCTTATGACATTCAGTATGACACAATCCAATTACTCCTTATAAATTATATAATTTGTGTTAATATATATACCATTCACAATTATTTTCGACCTTATATATTTTAGGGCTAAGGGTTCACTTTTTTTTTGAATTAGGACTTATTTATTTTAAATTTTATTAGGAGTGTCAGTTCGGGTGTAATTCGGTTCGGTTTAATCGATTTTTTCTCTCCCATGAACCGTCCGAAACCGAACCGCACACACTATTGAGACGAACCAAACCAACCGAATAAATAATCGGATTTATCGGTTCGGGTTTCGGTTCACCCGCATAATGGCTTCTTTCCAGTCAATTTGGTGCTGTGTGTTGACACATTGCCAACGATTTGACACTTTTTTTCTCCCAAAAAATAAAGAAGAAATTAAGCGCAAACAGCTTCCTTCGTACTGAAATGGCTGCATAAATATAACAAATTTAACACAAACTCATCCCTACAAAATTCTCACTCAAATTAACACAAATCTAAACTTAGAGCAACATAGCAAATCCATCTTTAGCATATGAAGTCAAAACCCCAATTTCGAATTACAAAATCTCAAATCCAAACCCAAAACACATATTTCCACCACTCCTCATTCCAATCTTATTGATTTGCTATCTAACCAAACAAAGACAAGAAGGTATGTTGGAGAAGATAATAGCCACGGTGAGGTATGGGTTGGAAAAAGAAACTGGAGAATGCGACTTTGATTTTGAAAATTGAGGATAAGGGGAGGAGGATTTATAGATCTGAGATTTTGGGATTTGATTGATGGACTCCAAGATTATACGAAAGCAAGATGGGTGAAAAAGATCTCTGGTCGACGAGCGGTGATGAGGAAAGGAGAGGCATCGGCGGATGTGAAGAAAGAAGGAAAATAAGAATGGCTAAACGGGCCAAATGAAATTTCTAATGTATTATAACTATAAATATATAATACAAAAATTAGTAAATTATTATGTCGGGTTTTTGGGCGGTCCCCGAATAAATTTTTCTCCAACCGTACCCGAACCGTCTTATCTCACAAATTTTCGGGTGAAACCGAAAACCCACCCGATAATACAATTAACCGACCCTTTAGCCCCGAATTCAGTTTGGCTCGGGCGGATTTTCGGGTTGACCCGTCTAGCTGACACCCCTAATTTTTATAGTTAAAAAATCAATAAAAATAGTCAAATTTCATAAAAAATAAAACATTGATATAAAAAATAAATAAGAATATGAAAATTATCTACATTTAAATATGTGACTATGGTATAAGTATTAACATAAATTATATAATGTATAAGAAATAATTAGATTATGTCATAACGAGTGTCACACAAAAGTGACACAGAGTATCCTATGTTCCTATGTTAGACTATACCCAATTGGCATACTTGTATTGAAGGAAAAAAAAAAAATTGGCCGTTCATTTTCTTTAAATTTCCTAACAATTTTTGTTACATTTTTAATATACTTTTTTTTTTATATTTTTAATATATAAAAATACAAACTGAGAAAATAATCTAACCATATCCAATAAAGGATTTCACTATTTCACACACACGCACACATATACACAAAATTTGAAGGATTAGGAAAGGAAAAGCCAACTCATTTTCCCCTCGTCTTCTTGGTGGCTTCTTGAGAGTTCAACTTACAGCGCGTAGCCGGCACCCAGCAATCTCTCTCTAGTGTAATCCAAATACTACTTCCGTCTGCTACTCCAAAAGTTATTTTTAAAGTCAATCATTGACTTACTTTTTCGCTATTTTCTTTTTTTTTTTTAAATTTTTTTTTCTCATAAGGAAAAATAATCTGTAAAAAACGACGCTGCCTGTAAAGTCTTCAACGGCCATTGAATTGGAGACGAACAAAGAGGTACTGATCCTCCATAAATTCGGTCAACACGCCGTCGTTTTCACTTGATCCTTCGGTTACTGCCTGGTAAAGGCTGCGCGGGAGTTACACTTTTGTGCTGAAAAGTGAAAAACCTTGCTGAATTGTCTGCTGCTGTGAGAAGTGGAAAGTTGCCGAGTCGACGGTTCTTGCGGAAGATTTGTTCTGTTCTGAATGCTTAATTGGAAGCTATGTCAGGTGAAATTTGTTCCTGGAAGCAGACCAGGAGATTTGTTCACTTTATCTTTCCATTTCGTGATTTTATTAGCATATGAATTGGTCGCGGTTTTAATTTGTGAACTCTGTACCGGTTCTTCCACCCCACCCCCACCCCCGGTAACAACGAAACGGACTCCAATTAGTTTGAATGAAACGATTTCTTTTTCTGTTCTGGAATTACTAATCATGCGAATTCAAAACTTTTTTTTGTAAAAGGTGATGAATTCTGCATCGAACTTTGCCGTAAGTTGTAGCTTCATTGTAGAATACATTAATTCTTTTCTTTTTAGTTGATAAAATAATGCATTTATTTTATTAACTGATATGTATGACTAGGAGTATGCTGTGGTTGTTTGTTAGTGTTTTTTTTGTTAATTTTTAGGATTTCAGCAGGTATTTCAATTGTATAAATTGATTAGTTATCAGCTAGTATTATGAATCACTTCTAATTAGCAAACTCGAAAAACCTGATAAACTTTTGCCAACACTTGAGAGTGGCCTGGGTACATTGTTCTGGTCTTTAAGTTTGTATGTGCAAGGAAGCCTGTATAATTTGAGCTGTATGAATTTTTGAATAGGATCCTTCAATCCACACTTAAATTTTTCTTGTTTATATAGCTTTGTGTTTGCCCATTGATCCGAGCAAGAGATCAATGAGTTGCACACATGGTTCTGGTTCCCCTTATAAGTTGTTTTCTGAAATGTGAATGTGAGTTAACCACATCTTTTATGTAAATGTGAATGTTAGTTGCCCGCGACTTGAGATGGAAACAGCTTCTCAGTGGTCTGTTCTGACGTTACGGCTACTTTGTTGGTGCAGCTTATAATATAAATGATCTAGTTAGAGAAGCTCAAAGCCGGTGGTTGAAGCCTGCCGAAGTATACTTCATACTACAAAATCATGAGACCCAAATGATTACAAATGAGCCTCCTCAGAGACCTGGAAGTAAGCAATGTTCTTTTCTATATGCATCTTTAATATAGTGAAAAGCATGGAAACCGGGATCTAATTAGTTTGGGTGACTAACTTTATCCTGGACTTGACAGGTGGATCTGTATTTCTTTTCAACAAGAGGGTCCTTAGATTTTTTCGTAAAGATGGGCATAGCTGGCGTAGGAAGAGAGATGGAAGAACAGTTGGTGAAGCACATGAGCGGCTTAAGGTTTAATTTACAAGATCCTTTATATTGCTACTATATTCCCTATTCCCGTCAAACTTCTTATTTTTGGTTGAAGTGGTTACTTTCTCCTTTCTTCAGTTGCTATTTTGATGGGATTTTGGAATCTAGTCATGTTAACTGTATTAACACCATACAACTATTTAAATCACGTCACTTCATCCAGTTGTTTGGGGTTCAAACAAACATCTCTCTCTGAAATTGGGATTTCTCTTTTTAATTCCTTCTTCCCCCCCCCCAATCCCCAAATCATATTGCAACATCCACAGACCTGAATTTTGTGTTTTTGGTTTTTGGGAACTTCAAAGTGATAACTTCTCCAATCAGGAGGAGAAACATGTGATTTGATATCTGTGTAAATATGGATTAATTTAACAATCCTATCTTTTATTTTGTTGTTATTCCGCTCTAATACTGTTAAGAGAATTTATTCAAAGCTGATTTCAGATTATTTCAATTGTTGATTGGTTTTATAGTTTCATCTTGCAACTACTGTTGTCTAGGTCGGAAACGTTGAGGCTCTGAATTGCTATTATGCGCATGGAGATCCCAATCCTAATTTTCAGAGGCGTAGCTATTGGATGTTAGACCCGTAAGTGTATCACATTCATGCTAGCTTTTTCCTTAGAAAAACAATAGCGGGATATTTTATTTTGTGAGGGTATATTAGGATTAAGATTTGTCAATAATAAGTTCAGAATAATCTTGAAACAGAACTTATCCTGATTAGATTAGCTTATTCCTATGTTCGCAAGTTTACATTTTTTTTTCATTTGATAAAACTCAATGAGCATGTCAGTAATTATCATGTTTTTTCATGATTGGACAGAGCATATGAGCACATTGTTCTGGTTCACTACCGAGATATACAAGAGGTGAGGGTCCCATTTCTGATAGGAAAGATACTTCAATTACAGAATTTATAGTTACCCGCAAACGAGCCATCACAATTGTTCTCCCTGGTGTTTATTTCACTTTCTTTTTAGTTTTAATATGCCGTTTTGTGTTCATTCCTCCATCTTCCCTGGGGTGCTTTCCCTGGAAACTGAGCATTTGATTCTTAATAATTGTAGCATAGCCTGTACAAATTCCAAACCCCCAGGCCTTTGAATTGCAGTCAGAAACTGTTTTTAGGCTATATCTTCTGTACTCAGACCCGATACTAAATTATTTCATTTGTAGAATCAATTAATACAGGATCTTTAATTGAACTTTAATCAACCTTCTATTTGCCTGCCACTGACCCTGTCTTCTTTGCTTTAGGGAAGGAACACTGCCGGAACAACAATACAATTTTCTCCAGTATCCCCTTCTACTTTCAGTCAGAGCCCCATCTCTTATAACTCCCAGCAGCCTGGGTCTTCTACTTTTTTCAGTAGTCTATCCAGCTCTGGATCTGCCGAGACCGGTTCTGATGTGGCCACTAGCAGCCAGGCGTTACCTTTGAATAATGTAGAGAGAGCTGAGGAAGCCACTAGCTCATCAGGGCTTCATATTACTCAAGCATTGCGGAGGCTTGAGGAGCAATTAAGTCTAAATGATGATATCGTGGAAGAAATTAGTTCAGGTTACACTGACAATGACAATACATATAGTTTAGAGAATGTGATACTTGGTCAAACTCCATCAGCTGCAACACAAGGTGAACAAAACATATTTATATTGGATCCATTCAGGGTTTCGTTATGGATTCGCTAACTTTGAGCTCCTGCTTGAGGAGTTTTGTTCTTTGTAGTAATGATGATGAATGCTAGCATCTTCTTCTCATGCTTGACCTTGGTATCTTCATACAAATGGTCTTCTGCAGTTTGATGGACAAAACTTTCCTGGATATGGGATGGCAAATTTTAGTATTGTTGCGCATAGTAGGAATTGATGACGTATATTCATTTCTTCCTTAAAAATGCTGAATTGAGATATTTTTAAAGTTCGTTTGTCATATACTGTTTTATCTTGTATTTGTCTATAGGCTTTATATCTGTCACTAAAAGTTTTCAATATTCCCTTTCACTGTTGTTTCATAGAAGTTTTCAAAATTCCCTTGCACTGTTGTTAATCATAGAAGTTTTCAAAATTCCCTTTTCACTGTTGTTAATCATAGTATTACTGATCGTGGCAGTTTTTTTTTTCTTCCCTCTAATCTGTCTCTCACTAATATGAAATTTCAGTTATAATAGTAACTGGATTTTGGTCTAAAAGAGAGCTAACCATTCCATTTTGTAGGTTCTAACCTCGAATATCATCAGCAGCTGTTAAGCCAAGCTGATTGGAATCAGGTAACCCAAATTTTAAAGAAATGTGAGAAAAAGTTTCCCATCTGAGAATCATTTGTATCTGCTTATTGTGTGTGCAATCTTTTTATGATGGTGTAAAAAGATTTCTAGATTGTATCACGTGAGTTGCTACATGTGTTGTATTTAGTGTGATTGTTGGGCGCATATGATCACTTTGCTGAGTGCGTGGTGTGTTTCTAATTTTCTGTCACCTAAATGTGGTGGTTTTCTTCCTTTCCTTAGGGTATTGAACAACCTGAATGGACAAAAGACCATGCGCCTGATCAAGATGACATTTGGTTGAGTTTGGGCAGAATTGATAGTCAAAATTGTAAGAATTTGATTATGTTAGTTTCTTATTTCCTTAACCTGGTATTTTGTATGTTTGAGAGGCTGAAACTCCTCATTTAGTGCCAGTTGCTCAAGAAACTGAAGATTTGACCTATCCCGAGTTTTCAGCGGATGTAAATGCTTATGCCCCTGAGCTTGACAATTACACATCACTGTTTGACCAAGGTCATATTGGAATGCCTCTTCAAGATAATATGGGAATCACTATTTCCCAAAAGCAGAAATTCTCCATTCGAGAGATATCTCCAGAATGGGGTTATGCGTCAGAAGTAACTAAGGTGCATGTCTGTATATTGAATTCCAGTTGTGAGATTTCTTTTGCTTTGGTTAATGTCGTTTATGTTAGAATATGTTTTGGTGTTTACATGTCTAACAATAGAGCTGCAGATATGTTTAGCAAGTTTGGCATTCCATGCTTTGAATAATATCTTTACCCATCTTTCAGTGTTTAGTTGCTTCATGTAATATGCATCTTCCCACTGCTTCAGGTAGTTGAGTCATGAGTGCAGTACTTCTTTTCCAAGTACTCAATTTGTACGCAGAACTGTTGGACTTTAGTAGTAATAGGATTATGTTGCAGCTGATTATTAACCGTACTGCTGTATACTCTTTATATCATATTCTGTTCAATAGTCTGCAAGTACCTGCCTGGAAAGGATGGATTGCCGGTGTGTGACATCTTTGCCTTCAGAAATCACATCTTCAGAAAATGTGGTGGAAAACTTGGCCTTGTCGTAACCGTTTAGTTGTAGTTTGGTGAACACCTTAGTTCCTTTTCTGATTCGTACATCGCAGAGCCATGTTTGGGTTTTCCGGTTGCTAAAATATTTTTCTGAGACCTCTCCTTAAGTTGATATGGTTGGAAACCGTAAATATTTAACTAAACAGTTGGGGGTATCATGAGCCTTTCACTTAGTTATCCTCATAAACCAACCTTTACCAATTGATGCAACTGTCTTTTGTTTACTAAAGGCCTAAGATATCCAGTTCCATCTCTGTATCCGCTTCTGTTAGTGTAAATCAATAGTTGGATCTGGTGTCTGCTTTATGTTTCTAGTTGAGCCTGTGCAGTTAGTTTCATATGTTCAACATCAAGTTTCGTGTTTCAGGTTTTCATAATTGGGTCATTTCTTTCTGATCCATCGGAGTCTCCGTGGACTTGCATGTTTGATGGCGTTGAAGTTTCAGCCCAGATCATTCAAGAGGGTGTCATTTGTTGTCAGGCTCCTCCACATTTGCCCGGAAAAGTATCAATTTATGTTACTTCTGGTAATAGGGAGTCCTGTAGTGAAGTCAGGGAGTTTGAATATCGTGATAAACTAGCTGTTTGTAGTAATTGTAGACAGCCAGAAGTAACTAGTAGGAGTCGAGAAGAGTTACTGTTACTTGTCAGACTTTTGCAGTTGCTTCTCTCCAATTCTTCACTGCAAAGGGGAGATAGTACCGACTCAGGAATTGACCTTTTGACCAAATCCAAAGCAGGTGAAGATCCTTGGGGTCAGGTCATAGATGATCTTCTGGTTGGCACTTCAACATCATCTAATACCACGGACTGGCTTTTAGAAGAACTTCTGAAAGACAAGTTGCGAAGTTGGCTTTTGTCTAGATCACAAAAAGAAACTGACCAGCAAAACAGTTTCTTGTCAAAAAAAGAGCAAGGAATCATACACATGGTTGCTGGATTAGGATTCGAGTGGGCCTTACCTCTAATTCTGAAGTCTGGAGTCAGTGTAAACTATCGTGACATTAATGGCTGGACTGCCCTTCATTGGGCTGCACGGTTTGGAAGGTATGTAACTAAATCCATGATTTTGGTTTTACTTAGGGGATCTTTCTTCAATTGTAAGTTTTAGATTCAAAGTTTTCCTGTCTGTCTTCAGGTCATTTATGTAAAAATTCCTTAATCATGGTTCACGTGGTATCAAAAGATTTCATCACTCAAATGTATACATGTATTTATTTGTTTATTATTTTTTGTAACAGGGAGAAAATGGTCGCTGCACTCATAGCTTCTGGTGCATCAGCTGGAGCAGTTACCGATCCCACTCCACAAGATCCTACTGGGAAAACTGCAGCCTTTATAGCTTCTACTTCAGGACACAAAGGACTTGCTGGATATCTTTCAGAGGTGGCACTAACTAGTCATCTTTCTTCTCTCACCCTGGAAGAAAGTGAGCTCTCCAAAGGATCTGCAAATGTAGAAGCAGAAATGACTGTGAATAAAGTTGCCAATGCGGATCCCGTTACCAATGAGGACCAGCTTTCTCTAAAAGTTACCTTAAATGCCGTACGGAATGCCGCACAGGCTGCTGCACGTATACAATCTGCATTCCGTGCTCATTCTTTCAGGAGGCGGCAGCAGAGGGAGGCTGGTCCTTCGAGCACTGGTGGTGATGAGTTTGGGATTCTTGCGGATGACATTGAGGCGGTTACAGTAGCTGCCTCTAGGTTGGCCTTCCGTAATCCAAGAGATTATAACTCCGCGGCTGTATCTATACAGAAGAAGTATCGGGGTTGGAAAGGTCGCAAGGACTTTCTTGCATTGCGGCAGAAAGTAGTAAAGATACAGGTACCTGATCTTTTGGTTAGAGACAAGATTTTTGTGTTTTGAATTGGTTGCACCCAAAGAAAACCATTCCTGTATCTCTTGGTACATGAATATACAAATTCATTTTAAGGTTTCTATAATGGCGACGGAAGCGTGATTGAAATTGGCAGTGTAGAATCTAGTCATTTTGCACCAAAGATGATGCATGTGAATTTTGAGCATGTTACATAATACTGTACTGTGGTTATCACAGTACTATGAGAACTGAGTTGTATTCTTTGCTGTTACCCCCACAAGCCGTTGTTTGTCTTTCTGTTTTCCAAGTTTACTGTAAAACTTGTTCATTGGTCATTAGTTTTGATAACTTTGTAGATCCTTGTGTAATAAGAAAGATTCAAAATCCTCATTTTATTCTCTGTATTTTTGTGTCAGGCGCATGTGAGAGGCTATCAAGTGAGAAAGAACTACAAGGTATGCTGGGCTGTTGGTATTCTGGAGAAGGTGATACTAAGGTGGCGTAGGCATGGTGTTGGGCTGCGGGGTTTCCGGAATGAAACGGAAGTAATGGATGAAATTGAGGATGAAGACATTCTCAAAGTCTTCCGTAAGCAGAAAGTCGATGCAACTATTGATGAGGCTGTCTCAAGGGTGTTGTCAATGGTTGAGTCACCTGATGCACGTCAGCAGTATCGCCGCCTTCTTGAAAAATATCGTCAAGCTAAGGTAATATCAAGATTGTGGTAGTTTCTGGATGATGGTGGCATGTATTAAGAAACCTGACCTAGTGTACCAATTGACATTCCTAGAAAGTCTTAAAAAAATGCCGAAAAAATTAATCATATAAATAACAATCTGCTGGTAAATTTGCTGTAAAGTTTAAAGATCATATATTGCGACTTTTGTTTTGCAGGCTGAGCTTGCTGATCAAGAGGGGAAACAAGTTTAACATCTCAAAACCATTGAACCAAAAAAAAAAAAAAAAAAGATTACGTTACCAGGTTACTTTGATGATTAGCATGGCTTCTGATTGAAAAGTTTAATACATGGGTATATGGAAGATGTTAGGAAAATCTGATTGGTATGTGAAAAGTAGCTATTTTGATTAATCATCCTTTTAAAGATATTGGAAGTTAGTAAATTTGCTGTACATGTTGATGTAAATGTCAGGTGCAAATACATTATGTGTAGAACAACTGCGATTCACTGCTTTGAAAGCAAATGAACTCTGGCGGATGTTGTGATTACGTCTCTGTTAAAAGATAGTAATTAAATTTTGTTCGGGCAATGATGCCCAAAAGTTTGGCCAACATTTGATGATTTTGTTTGGGAAAGGGTGCCTGGTTGTGTATTTACTATTTACCATGCCTTCCATTTCCTTTCAAAATAGCATGACAAAGTGAAATATTAAAATAAAATGAAAGAAGGTTTCAGCTCACCGTATTTTTGAGCTGACCGTACCATAATTTGCAAATTCGCGATCTTGGATCGTAGGAACGAATTCTTAAATCGATCTTAGATCGATCAAACTCGAATTTTGCAGTGGGATCGGTTAAGATCATAAGATCGGTCCGAGTTTACTATTCATCCATTACAAAAAATTAATTGACCAAATTGAAATTTTTTTCTTTTATTTTTTTTGATTCACATTCAATTGAAGCTAATATTCTTTGAGAAAACTTTTATTGGTAGAAAAAAATATATTTTAGAAAGTTTTTCTAATAAAATGAAAAGAATAACGGTAAGAGAAGAGTTTTTATTAAAAAGTTATGTAAAAATATATATAAGAAAATTGAATTTACCCATTTCTTTTTGTTTAAATGTTAAATACTTTATCTAAAGATAATTGTAACTGCAAATTAAGTAATTAATTATATAACATGTATAATTAATTTTATGATTTTACTATTTCGATCCTACCGATCCTATTTACGATTCGATCCTATGATCCCATTTTGATCATACGTAAGATTACAATCCTGCAAACATTGGAGCGTACTAAAATTATTTGGTTCAATTTCTGAAATCAAATTATTCAGACTAGTAAAATTGGTTCACAAAATTTGCACAAGCAAATTGGCTGAAAATAAAACTTAATGTAATTACTTACACACAAGCATACACCATTGTTCAGTTAGTTTGGGCAATGTGCTTGTAAATGGCATCACAAATGAAAACCATTGAGTATAATAATTGTGATCATTTTAGATAAAACTGCTCAAATATCGGCGGAACAAGCCAATAAGGAACTGGGGGACGCAGTAAGTGAGTGGACAAAGCTGAGCGGTTGACTTTACTAGATTTTTCTTTTCAGTTGCCCTTTCCCCATCAGGAAGGATCCTTTCCCATTCACTACACACTATATATCATTAGCATCAGCTTTTGATTCTTCTTCTCCTTCGCCTGCTCCTCCTTCGCAATTGTTAAAAATAAGAAATGGGATCGAAGGATAACAAGGTGGAGCTTTTACAGACAGCCATTAAACAGTTAATCGATGAAGAGAAAGCCAAGACCAAAAATAGTGAAGACAGTTTTGTTGCAGTCAGTGGAAATGAAGATGCTGGTGCTGTTGATGATGATGATGCAGCTGACCACCGCCTCCTCTCCAAACTACTGTCGCAGGTAACATTTCTTCCTTAACTTACTTGTTGATGTTTTTGCCCTTTTGCTTCTTTGTATTTGCGTAAAAGAAAAAGAAATTGAAATGATCCTAGATTTGGGATTGGAAGGTTTTACTCCCTCCGTCTCAAACTAGACAATAATTTCGGGACAGAGGCAGTAGCTAATTCTAGCCCCTTTAATTGCTGAGTATGTGGTATCAAAGCCTAGAGGGACAGATGGATCGTGTTCCTGATTTCTTTACCTGCATGTTTGACACGTTCAACTTGGGATGTTTTGAATGTCAAAAGATAGTGTAAGACGGGGTGATTTGGTCAACGGAACTAACGTTATTATCGTCTCTGCTTCAGTTGGAAACGATGAAAGATGATGATACACCTCCGGAACCCAACATTCAGAATGTGAATTTGAACGAAGTTGGCGAGAACATTGAGGATTCCGGCAGCACCAGCTCTGACATTAGCAAAGACGACATAGTTGGGGAACTGAAAAAGATCCGTAGGCAAAATTTCATCACCCACTGTCTTCTGTCAGCCATGATTGTCCTCACGATTACATGGCAAGTTTCTGAAGTCTCACTCATTTTGAAGGTCAAAGATGGATTGAGCAACCCGTTTAGAACCTTAGGTGGCTTGTTTAAAGGGATGATTATGAAGCCCCAGGCTTCGACTGATCATGAAGAAGACAAGCAGGTTTCTAGCGCTGATAAGCAAAATCCCCTGCTTACAACCTCACCCCTTCCAGGTCTCAAAATCCCGAAGTTGCCCCATGTGGAACTCCCTGCCTTTGATTTGGATCATGAAGACGACTAGTTAGTTAGCCTGGTCTTCTATGCTGCTTGAAGTCCAGATGAGCAATTGTTATTCTATCCTGTTTTTTAATGTTCTTTCATTCTTGTTAGCCAATCTTGCACACGAATTTTGAAACCTCAATCGAATTTTGCGGGATTACCACAGAATCAGGTAGATCATTTAGTTAATCTAATAACATCATCCATTCATCATAACAAAGAAATCTCGGATAGTTTGAACTTCCAAAACAGATTCATAAACTTTCAATTGACAACTTAGATCCCAAGGAAATATATTCTAAACAATTCCAGAACCATGCACGACTGTAGTAGAGAAGAATCACAAAATATCCCCAACATTCTGTGTACTGATAACATAGGAAATATTCTAAAACAAATAATGGCATAGTCTGATCACAAGCACAAGGGAGACGATTATTTCCCTTCATCTAACACACGGATCATTTCATCACGCATAATTCAACCGGAAAATGTCATTCAGCACATAGAAGCTACCCTGAGGGGTTGGCATCAAATGGAACATCTGCAATAGAGAAAAAGGACAACGCAAAACATTAGGCACAGATAAAAGTAAAACCAGAATGGTAGTAGATATACAGAGACAGTAAAACAGGAACCCAAATCCACAGAAAATCCATAACTCAACCAGTATACTCGAACAGATGCACATAAACCACATAGCAGTAAATAAACAAGTATAAATCAAAGCTCCACCAAGTGTTCAAATGATCCAAATTACGGCAAACCTACAATTGAGACTTAACCAAACAAGAAGAACCTTCTCATAAAAAGATTGAGCAGTAAGTACCTTCAAAAACCGCATTTCAACCAGCAGCACAAAGGGGAAATTCCATAAGGAATACTTATAAGCCAAAATAGAAATATACTATCGTAATGTTTCTCCAAAATGACTCAACATGGGTCCCAATTTCGCTACATTGACTACATACAGCTCCATGTAATCCAAAGAGTTTTCTTAACTGCAACTTACTTTTGAAAGAAGAAAGCTTAATGACACTGATTTCCTATGAAACACAAAGTGAAGGGTGAAGGGACTATATAGTTGGTCTACAGCATAATTCATAAAGTCAAATCTTAAGACATTTTTCAAAGAACTTGCAACAAAACTAGTGTGACATGGAGAAAATAAGCAAAAAAGGCATTGGTATCAAGTGAAAGAATTATGATAGATACTTGTTTATCTAGTTCAGATAGAACCAAAGATACCCACATCACACGCTTTCCAACGACACCAAGACAACAGTTTCCCAACGAAAATATACAGTCAGCACAACAAAATCGAAGCCTGATGATATCAGTTCCCTCCCAATCCGTCACATGAAATTGCATACTAGGGTATTACTTGATACAAACTGTAGTGCCTAAAGTGCACATACTCAGTTGTCATCACATTAATCATTATTCACAAGGTTACAACTTACAAGGTAAACATGTCTAGTTGTCTTCTCTATTTCTATAACCATTACACAGATTTAAGTACAAGGTACCAAAACCAGCTTCGCATCAGACACAATCTATAACATGCACCCATTGGAAGAAATAAGCAACCCATGAGAAATTCTAATAGTAGTTAACATGGAATAGCAAAGATATATTTTCACAGTGAGTGAAATCAAATATACATGGCAACCGGCATTCTAAAGCAGACATGCATTACCCAGTAAAACACATACACAAAGAATAATCATATAGTAGATAATGATAAACACCAACTCCGAATAATAATAGATGCAGTGATCAGTCATCTACAAGCTAAAACATGTATGAGTAAGCCAAATGATAGCAAAATCATCAACAGTGAATTATCAGGACAATAACCATATTGAATCACCCAATCATGATTTCCCCATATTAACTTACTTTCACCCCGATCCTTGCGAATTAATAATACCCAGAAGCCCCCACAAACAATCAAGCGCACAGAACCAAATCCCCCTACCCCCGCGCAAGTGCACATGGACACATTTAACGTTTCTTTTTCATCTCATCATTCCATTTTTCCAACTGACTTCAATAACAGACCTCTTAAATCTCTACAAAATCTCTACAATTGGAACACCATTTTATACATTTTAAGGACGAACCTTTGACATTCCAAAATCAAAAAGGTCACAGCACAGACAAGACCCACCAAATTCCTCAACCAAATCACAATACTCATCACACAAACCCTATAAACCTTTTTTAAGTAATACCCACACACAAATGAGTAGTCGTACAGTCTGAATAATTACAACCAATATAACAGATCAACCCATAGAATCCTAAATTTGCCAACAGAAACCATCCAGCCTAATTCAATTAGCAGAATAAACTAGAGTTGACATAAATAATGCCGTACGTAGATACAATCAACCAAAATTCGTCCAAGCAAATCACAATATTTTCAGCACATAAACCCTAGAAAGGCTGACGACCCCCTTTCCCCCCAAAACGAAACTTCAAAACAAACTTAATAATACTATTATAGTATGAAGAAAGGACCTGGCTGAACTTGAGGGCGTGCTGTTCACCGGGGAGCTGAAGGGTGCCGGAGACGAAGACGAGCATACCACCGGCGGGACCAGAGGGCTGGCAATCGACGGTGGAGATGGTGTGCTGGCACTGGGGGAAGGGCAAACTGGTGAGCTTAGCAACAATGTTCTGAGAACCCTGAATCTTCTGGCCTTCAAAGGTCAACATGGAGGACTCCTGATATAGATTGCCCAGCGAGTTCCGGTTGGTGTCGAAGGTTGAGTAGTAGTGCTCCACGAACGCCTTTGCCACCTGATCCGGATCCATTTCTTTGATCTTTCAGTTGACCGATTGGAACGTAAGGGATTTTTTGTTTCTTTGGCCCGGTCCCCCTTTTGATTCGGGTACGGGTCAGGGATTCTGTTCGCTTAGGACTCACGCGGTACTTTGCTAGAGAAGAAAGACGAACGACTGTGAAGAGAGAAGGGATACTACTACCACCAGAAATAATGGTGGGGGAAGGAAGATGCGCCTTGGATATGGGTTCAGGTGAATTTGGGCTTCATGGCTTACTTTTTATGGGCCGAATTATGGTCTGGCCCGATTATTTTCTTTTTTGCCGGCAGTCTAAATTTGTTATGATTGTAAAAACATGTGTACATTCAATTGCTATATATTTTAGGTTGAAAATAATATCTAGATATACTCCCTCTGTCTCAAAATTATTGTTCAGTTTAAAATTTTACTTTTAGTACAATTTGAACTAAAAATGAAAATCCAAACTGGATAATAATTATGAGACGGAGGGAGTACAATTTTTAAATATAGTCAATGGTGTCGTGTTTACTTTAGCTCGAAGTTAAGAGTATTGTGATTTGATAACCATGTCAAGTTTTTTGAGATTCATTTATGGAGCGATAAATACTGTTGAATTCTCTTTTCGAACCCTTCCACCTTGTCACTTTAGGAAAAGAACAGTATCAAAACTAGTACTAGTATGTGGTATGTTCTTGAACTGAACTTTAATATCTTTTGTTTTTCACCCATGAATATGATCCAACAAATAGCTATTATTGTTCACATATTTTTGCTTTTTCCAAAACACTAAAGTCAAGCCAGTTCAGTTGGGCCCTTTCCATCTTACTGGAGAAACAGGGTTTTCAAGTTTTGAAATAAAAGAAGATTATATCAGCGTTGAAGGTGGCCATTTTTATTGAATAAAAAATATTTTTATTGCTGCGCAAACTGCAAAAGGTCATTTCAGGTGAGTCAGTGAGTGCCAGCCAATCCCACATCGCCTTCATCAATCATCATCGTGCTCAGCACGTTTTATCACACCATTGAGATGATTCACTATTCTGCAAAACTATAAGGAGTAAGGCCCACTCGAAGTGGCCCAAACAAGAAAGCCACATCAACCCAAGCAATTTCCAGCCTGGATTTCTACCCACACTGGTCCACCATTAAAAAATCAGGCAAGGTAAAATGGGAATAACCAAAAAAAAAAAAAAAAAAAAAAGAAGCGGGAAAACACAGACAGTGCTAGAGTTGCTACTTGCTAGTGCCTTTGCCTTCAATCTATATGTTCTAATCTGATGACAACACCAACATTTTAATCTACTTCAGCTAACACAAGGCAAGATCCAATAACTACTTTATCAAAAGCTGAAAAAGATCGGCTATATTGCTCATATATCGTCATTCTATTCCATCAAGCTACACAACAAATTAAAATTACAACACACGTGAAAAAATGGAATGAGGAGAAACTGCAACTGTACATGGATTGGCCCGTATCATTGCCCTTTTGGTTGCAAGGGAAAAGCGATAAACACAGTTGCTTAATGAATGACCTAAAGATTGTACACTTCCAAACCAGTATTTTTGCTCTGTTTCACTAAAAACTATTTATTTACAATGGAAACATTTGTTGTGGCTAAGGCAATAAACAATGGTCATTCTAAACGAGAGCAAATGTCTGTGCAGTATATTGGACATGTGGGAGTATGACAGGCTAGTCTAGCTGCTTTTATTATTACATAAGCAGAGATTTACAGGAACTATATATACTGATTCTTCTCTCTATCCTGCAGTGTGTATAACTATCAAGACATGCGGAAATTCACACCAATTAAGTGCTAGTCTCGGAAATGTATAACTTGTTAAGATTTTTGACGCAGAAGATAAAGAGGGATTAAAAGAAATCAGACCTCTTCATCCCAACTTATTTCTCCATCTCACATTGGGATTAACCGGATGTGGGATGCCGAGATCATTTCAGCCCTTAGATGATAAGACTCGATTCTCCAAAAACTTCCTCGAGCCAGGTCAGTCTGTACTCTCTATCTTCTCTACTCAAAAATCAAACCGGAGTCGGCGAGGGGAACTGAATCAGCTACCTATATGGATCCATTGATTGGTTACCCTACATAGATCCTCTAACGAACCAAGTAAGCACTCCAATACCAATGAATAAGAAGATTTCCTGCAGAAGCAAGAACAAAAGAATGAACAACATCATCACATACATATGCAGCAGGATCAATGGCATGTGTACTCCCTCTGCGCCGAAAAATTAGTCCACATTGTAAATTGTGCTGTTTCTAGTATAATTTTAAAAATACAATGTGGACTATTTTTCTGGGACAGAGAGAGTACTAAAGAACAATTACAACGAATAGTAATTTGATAGCATGAATAGGAGGCAAGAGTCACTTGCAAGAAAAGTTCAGCCAGGAAAGTACCTACAGGGGAAATAATCCACAGAGCTAATTGTAGCCGAAGATGCCTTGTACTTGAGTCTAACCATGCAACGAGTACACCCTCACAAGCTGAAATTATCTTAGGAGCTTTCATCTGATACAATATCAAAAAAGCGGGAAACTTCATGGTAAAGTTGCTCCGCGTCAAACGGTTTTGAAACATAGCCGTCCATGCCACACTTGAGGCATTCTTCATTTGTAGCTTGGAACACATCAGCCGTCATTGCCAGGATGGGAACATGCCAGGTAGAAACATTATCATAAGCTTCAACTGAGAGTTCTCCATCTTGGATTTTAGAATTGATTCGCGATTCCACCTCACGAATAGCCCTAGTAGCTTTAAACCTGCCGTACAAATTCATGCAATTTGATCAATATTACTCACTTCAAAAAACAAAACAGTATACTGCAAAAGAAGCTTTTCCAACAGCAGCTGATGTCAAGAGACACGAGATGACACAGCATGGAAAATAGGTAACTTTCGTGAAATATTGAGAATAGTTGCAATCTTAGTATGTTGACTCAAATGAATTAACAGAACACAAGTACATGTAGAACAAATGATGCATACCCATCCATTTTTGGCATTTGAATGTCCATGAAACAGGCATCAAACTGATGAGGTGGCTGCAATAAAGCGACAGCTTCCTCACCGCCTTCTGCTCGGACAACATCAGCACCATACTTCTTCAAGAAACATTCTGCTACTTTAAGATTTACTCTATGATCATCGACCACCAGGATTTTTCGCCCGGCAAGCAGATTGACCAGAGTTACCCTAGGAGTTTCTCCATTGCGTGAATTCCCCCTGATACTTACACCCATGGCACGCTGTAGAGATGCAGCAAGCATACTTGCCCGAATTGGCTTCGCAATTATCGCTGAGGTTGAAATACCACAAGCTGAAACAAAAGCTCGCGAAGAACTTATAGAGTTAGCTAAAAGGAAGAGTCTTGGAACAACAGTATTATTAACGACCTCTCTTAATTTGCGGCAGAAAAGGGTTGACGTTGCAAGGTCCTTATCCCAAACATCCTGTTCAATGATAACCAAATCTATAACAGCATCCCCAGAGCTTATTCTTGAAAAAGCTTGGTTGAAATCTGGAACTAATTCAACGAATAACCGAAGCCGTTGGAGATGATACCGAGACACCTTTGCTCGTACATCTCTCGGATCAATAACCAATGCCCTCAAGCCTTGGAACTCTGAAGATAAAGAGCTTGATAGTTTACTATTCGTCTGTTGACTCTTCGGCTCACTTGTGTTGGACAAACCATTGGCAAAAATGGCAGTAAAGGTGAAAGTGGACCCAATCTTTGGTACACTAGAGAACCCGATTTCACCTTTCATGAGGTGAACCAAACACTTGCTTATGCTTAGACCAATGCCCGTCCCACCATGCGTTCTGGAAATTGATGGGCCCACCTGCATAAAGGGAGTGAATATGCGAGGTTGAGCTTCCAACGGGATTCCTGCCCCGGTGTCTTCTACTGACACAATTAAATTGATTTGATCAGTCGAGGATGATGCTTGCAAAGCAGGCAAAGGAAATCCATCTGGACCAAAACACCTAAATCCTCTCCAACTCTCTCGCCTGTCGGCTACAGGGAACCCGCTCAACGTATCACTTGAGCATGATTCTGTCTCGTCTTTAGCATAATCCGCCACTTCTTCAACTAGATGAACAGTTACAAATATGTGCCCTTTTTCTGTAAACTGCAGACACCATAATATTTAGCTCCTCGGAAAAACCTCATTCACCAACTTGAATAGAAATTTTCTAAGAAATCATAAGGAGACCTAAAGCCAATTCTATAAATATACAATTTGCATCCTTTATCACCATGATCAATCATGTCACTTTTTGTAACAGAAAGTGGAGAAAAATAATCAGACAACCTAGCTTAACCTTTCGGTCAATGCCGGGTAAGCTTGTGTGGTCAAGCATGATCTTTGTGATTACTACAGTAGTCAACTTTTACCAAAAAAGGAGATGAACTCTCCCTCTAAAACTTACTTTGATTGAGTTGCCGATTAGGTTCGTAATGATCTGTCTAAATCGTCCTGGATCCCCAATAAGCATCTCAGGTACCTTGTCAGATATGTAAACAGCCAACTGTTCCAAGGAAGTTTGTTGCAAAAAGAGATCAGCAAAACAAAAACAATCTATTGGTAAGGATAATAAGTTTAAATACACAGGTCAAATCATCGACGACAGGATCTTTAAAAGTACCTCAACACCTTTCTCTTGCGATTTTCCCGAGAAAAGTGACAATACATCATCCAGAATCGCTCGAGCGTCAAAGCGCACTGCTTCAAGCTCAATTTTACCAGATTCAATCTTCGCTTGATCCAGAACCTCATTTATGAGAGAAACTAAAGCCCTACCACTACCCTGTGCAGTTCTTACATAATCTTGTTGAGTAACATCTAGATCCGTGTCCATGAGCATATGCAACATTCCTGAAAAAGCATATGCATACAGCATAAGAGTGAAAATGATACTCAAGCTTAATGTAGCACACAAGCCGATATAGCATATCGAGCAGACTTACCTAGAACACCGTTCATGGGGGTCCTGATCTCATGCGAAACTGTGGCAAGAAACTGAACCAAATTGAAAGTTAGTGAGATATGCAGACAAAATTATCATGGCTCACAGAGACATATGCAATTAAAGTAAAAGCAGTAGATACCTGTGATTTTGCGACATCTGCTGCTTCAGCACGTTTTTTGAGCTCCATCATTTCATGGTAATCATCCTCAACCCTAGCAATGCGATTCATTGTAGCTTGGAAAATATGCGCCACTAGCAAAACAATAACAAGAATGCCAAATGAGGTCACCATTGCTTGCACTGGCCAAGGCGGTTTATGTTTGAATCTGCATTCATTGTTAAGCTTGATTAGATTGCATAATAGAACTATTATGAATAGTCAAAAAGTGAAATCATGAAGGCACGTTAAAATGATGGAGCCGATGATCAGGATTCCAACAATAACAGATCTCTAAATAATTATATTGTAGTATCTGAAGTACACACGTCATTAAGGAGACCAAAAATGTAACAATGACCTGAAAAGGATTTGTACAAGACAAATGAGAAAGTACATTACCTGCATCGCATCTCATGCTTGCGGAATGGATCCCCGAAGTTAAGGGTACTAACATGCTCAAGACCCTCATTTGAAACACTTGAACCATACATGCTGATAGGGTTGGAGTGATTCGTTGTATCAAAAACATTGACCAGAATAGTTTGCTTGCTTGCAAGTTGTTGAAGTAACTTCTCTACAAGTGACTCAATGTCAAAGACACCACCAAGATACCTGCTTATAAGAAGTACAAACTTTAATGCCAAGGATAACTAAGGAACAAACAACATCCTATCAGAGTAGTTCACTAGTCCCCCCTTTTTTCTGTCACCGAGGGTGTTATACCATGATAAGCATAATGTTCCTTCCTTCTACAACCCCACCCAACCAAAAAAATTCTCAACGATGAGACTGTGTTAAAGGGTATAGGTAACTGTATCTCAAACATACCCGTTAGTTGCTTTCGTTCTCTCGTCTGGCGTCGCATTTGAGGGTAGATCTGTCTTGTAAACAGCAAAAGTCAATATGACACCTAGGCGATTTGATTTGATTAACCTGAATGGAGCAGTGAGTACACCCTTTCCAGACTCTCGAGCACGCAAAATATTACTACGATCTTCCTGCAAGCATTTAATCTGTGGCATCAAAAATCCCTTTTTTTTTTTTAACCAAAAAAAAAATCCCATCTTTCCTTTCCTGACCCCAAAGCCATTAGGAACAAAACATTTTCCAGAATGCATACAAGAATGATATACATTGGCACAACCAAAGAAACAAGTAATGCCCTAAACTTTACCTTGTTTACACTATTTCTCAAGAAACGATGAAAAGGGAAAAAAAAAAAAATCATGAAAGATCAGAATTTTAATAGAATGTGGCACTAAGCTTACTTCGCCAGAGAGCATATCCAGAGATATGACGTGTGCAATAGTATCCTGAGCAAAGATGACAGGAGCATATTCCTCCTGGACAGGGGATGGCTCGGGGTTTTCTGACCAGTACTCATCCTTATGAACAGGGGTCTGTTCAATTACATCCATTCTCTTAATAGTCCAACCTTGTTGCTTCTCAAATTGCTCTCTTTCAGAATGCAGCACCTTCACGGCATACGCCACTCCACTAGTAAGAGGTCTTTCAAAGGCAGTTCTTTCCGTGTAGCTTGCAAATGTCGTCTGCAAGTTGAATAGATTTGGTTGTTACTTGTTACTCGGCAGAGCAGTCTCGAAATCAATAAAAAGGCAGTTCTTTCCGTAAACTACCAAAAAAAAATAATTTTACAGTGATTCTAGTAACCGATAGGCAGCTACCAAATAAGCTGTTCAATTAAGACATCAGATCAACTATTTAGCAGGATATAACTAGGATCTCATCACAATATAAGTAATAACCATACAGTGTCTCTACCTATCAAAGAGAAGGAAGAAATAAGCTTCAAACAGACCAGTTACTGTTTCCCTTAAAAATTGAAGCTGCAACATCAATGGGAGACAGTGTTACCTGGTCAATTGCGGGCGGACTCTTATTGTGGTAGAATGTTGATATTAAAATAGACATGGCCTGGATGTGATTCATGCTAACATTGAATTGATCCTGCAACATTCTGGCCCTCTCATCACACATGCTAGCCAAAGTTTCTTTCCTCTTTTCCACTGCTTGTGAGCTTTGATACCAAAAGTTACCAATTGAAGCTAGAATCCCAAGTACAATCAATGTAAACCAAAGCTTCTTCCACCAATTTCGTATTCCTTTCTTATGGGACCCGATATAATATGGATGATGATGGATCTTGATGAAACTCTTTCCTGATATCTTCTCCCATAGTTTCACCCATATTTGCTCTCCATCAGTTAAGAAACCAGTCTTTGAGGTCATTTCTCCACCATTACTAATCCAAACAAAAGAAATCAAAGACACAAACCAGCAACATAGCATCAAAATTAGATGCCCCACCTTCAGCCCAAATCCAATAACATGGAGCAGACTCATCCAAAGAAGAATAATAACAGCTGGTAAAACTGTGAAAGAACTTCAAACCGACTTCTTCCCCGTCAACCTTTCCTATAAAACTCCAGCGGTTTTGGCCTAGAAGCAGCAACGAAATTCAATCTTGAGAACTAAAATCAGAAGAACTACAATGAAATTATGCGCCCACCAAACGAACTTCATAAATCAGCAGACAATAAGACTGATAAGGACTAAGAAGCCCGAAAGAAATTATTCTAATCTTATCCAAGCAAATTGCCTGCCAGAAGGAGGACCCTGAATTGAGGAAGATAAGAGAAATCCCACCCAAAAAAAAAAAACACAACCAGGCAAAAGAATGAAGGAATCCCTCCAAGAATCCAACTTTTCTGACTCCAATTACAGAAACAGAATTTCGATTTCTATCCAGTCTTCTACCAATCAGAAAACCCACAAGGAACAAGAGGGCCAAACCAAAGATATATTCTCAAAACTAAAGCAAACAGTACCTCATCATACAGGAACAGGAGTTTCCAAACCCCAACTATTGAAGAAACTAACTCCAAGTTATGGCAGCAGTGATTTGCTAGTTAACTAAAGTTTGACTCTTGGAAGAGGCTCCAAAGTTAGAAGCTAGAGTTGAGAAGTTGTGCATAGTTTTGGAGACATAGAAGGAAAGCAATAATTCAGGAAAAGGGGATTAATGATATGGAATAGTTAATCTTAAATGTCACCACAATGAATAAAGGCAACAAGAAAGGAAAGGAAGGAAGGGAAGGGAAGAGGGGGGGGAAAAAGGAAAAAACAAAAAACAAAAACTGGATTCAATGGACACTATGCTACAAGAATCTGTGAAAGCAAAGATGAGAAGAATATGGTGGTAGAAATGTCTGCTTGCACAGGGCCATTATCTCTATCCATTTCTATCTCCATCCAACTCCATAAACTACTAAATAATAGAAAGAAAAAAAAAAGAAAAATCTGTATTAATTATATTCAAACCCAAAAAAAGAAAAGCTGTAAATTATTATTATTAAAATTTTGGAGGGAACTGACAATAATAATTACATTATATTATTTATCATTGTCCGAAGAAGGTAACAAATTTCCAGTTCGCCAGAAATTTAAAAAGGTAATAATAGGTGGTACACTACTGCTACTACTTACTAATGCTTCCAACTCAGCAAAGATAAAAATCACTGCTTTTTTATTTTTATTTTTTTTACCTAGTACTAAAATAGTCCAGCATCACATTTCACAACGACTGCCCACTTTTGCTTTTTCTGTGTTCACATTATCACGTTTCGATCTTAAAAAAAAAAAAAAAAAACCCCAATTTCCTAAATATCCAAAATTTCATGTTTCTTTTTCATGTTTGTCCTCTCTTTTTTTTTTTTGGGGGTTGCGTTTTCTTCAGTGTACAAGTCCAACACGTTTTTATATTGGATGGTTTGAACAGTTTGATGAATGACAATGGTTGCGTTTTTTTTTTGGATCAAACTACCCATTTTAAAGGTTCTAATTTTGTAGTATTGTGCACGTATCTTCGTATTATTAAATGTTGGGTTGATTCCTTACATATTTATGTCATGAGTTAAGTAATTTTTCCTCGCATAGTATGTAACTTTATTGATTTTTCATATGGAATCGAAATTTTTTAGTATTTGATTAGTTGTTATGGCGTCCCAATTTTGTAATTTCACAAGGCATACAAAATACCGACAAGAAAAACAAACTAAACTAGTTCATCAAAAAAAACTACATCTAGTTGGAATGGAATGGAATTCACAACAATAAAAGAATGGGCATTTGGGAAGAAGTAATACTTGGAAAAAAGTGGGAAGGGATAGGGAAAAAAAAAAGGGTTCAAAATAAAGTTAGGTGGAAACAAGGTCCCATTGATGGCTATCCTCGAGGTGTTATTATGTTTTGCCTAATTTTTTTTGTTTTTCCTCTCTTCTTTTATAAATTTTTTTTTTTTTTTTTTTTTGGTTCACCACTGATATTTGGAATCTCATATTGCTGCTCAAACAGCATTATTGAGTTTAGATCATCAAATGCCAATCGACAACATAAAACAATGAAAAACTAAGCAAAAGTTATGATACTCGGCCTTTTTATGATTGGTTTTCCATAAAGATTGATTGTGACAAAAAAATTGTTTAGGAATTTTGATTAGTCCAGTAAACACGTACTTTAAAAGTCTCTACTACAAATCAGAAAATACCTAGATAAGTTATACGAGTATAAACATTGATTCTAATTTGTTCCATGAAAAATTTATAATTAGTGAGTTTTACCTTAATAGTCACATACATTTATGTTAATTCTAAATTTTTGTACTTTTTTTTTATCACAAAATGAATTTCCTCATGTACCATTTGTTGCGAAAGTTATTACTCTTTAATTAAGAAAAAAATATACTTCTTGTGTACCAGAAGAATATACGACCATATACAATCTTAAAACTTAATAAGACTAATTTTTTTGAGTCGCAATGAGTAAAATTTAGAGCATTTGTCGTTGTCAAAGTTAGATTTCTCTTGCATCTTATCTTCTCTCTCTCTATATATATAGTGGACTTCTCTTGCATTTTACCTTGTTTTTCTCATCATACATTTACTCTGTTTTAAATGTTTTTATTTTTATGTGTATTTTTTCATATGGAAAACATAAATAATATAAAAAAAAATTGAAATAGAATTGCAACAAAACCTTGGTAGTGAAAACAAAGAGATCATTTACGAAATAGATATATTTGTTAAAGATCTTTTGAGTAATGACTGGGATTAGTCGGAGCAATGATTTTAGACACTGATACGTAATATACCAAAAAAAAAAATCTTTTGAGTAATAAGTTAAGGGAGGATTTTTTTGAAAAAAAAAAAAATTAGGGTAAACAAGGCTTCCCCTGATTTTATCTAGCCATAATAATTCGAAAATACGCGATCCCAATTATAACAAAGTTGTAATTAATAAATAATAGTTTTACCGGGAGGTTGGTTAATCAGGTATTTGGAGCTGTTAGTTTTGTTGGATGATTTATATCTTTGCGATATAACATAAAGGAGGAAATTAGGACAAAAATGTAGTTTACATGGCTTAATCCAAATATTTTTCATAAAAAAAAAAAAATTAAGGCAGAAAATTAAACAAACGTGCGTTAGTGGAATTTGTCACAAACTCCAACAGTGTGGGCAGTACATTGTGTTGTGTCATGTGTGGGATACCGGATACCCACAAGGTCACAACATTTGCAATAAATTTCAGACAATCAATGCCAAAATAAAATGAAGTGTGCTTCTAATTTTGTTCTCCTTTATTTTATAAAAATAATTTACATTATTAATTTATAGAATGTGTAGTAAAGATTATTTTTTTTATAGGAGAAAGAGAATATATATATATATATATATATATATTATGATAGGATATTCATCATTAGTAACAATGACTCTAATTGTTAGTAGAATTATTTTAAAAAAAATTATGATAACTAAAGAAGTTAGTGTTCAAAGCCGAATTACCACACCCGACTTTGATTAAAATTGATGAGTCTATTTTTTTTTTCCTTTAACCACAACCCTTTAGTTATATAGTAAAGTATACTTACTTATATTTCTATTATAAGACATTTTGATTTATCTTAAATTTTATTTCGTATGATTATAATTAAAAATAAAACTTTAAACATATATTTTCATATTGATTGTATTTTTTTAATTATCGTAAAGTATTATTATAATTTTATTACCAATTTAAATAACATATTAAATTAAATATAATATAAATTAAAATATTTTATAATAAGAATAGGAGGAAATAATTCAAAACTTGTTGCAAAATGGGATGAAAATATTATTAGAAACAAAAAAGTAAGAGGAAGAAATTAGAAAATGATGTCCAGCGAGGCTGGGGCTGGGGAGAGTGGGGATGAGGAAATTGACGTTGACGTTCCCACGTCAGCAACTGCACCGGTTCTCTTGGACGGAGCAAATGGGATTGTCCTACGTGTAATATCCGTAATGGGCTCCACTGCATTGCTACGTGGCAGTTCCGAAGTAGGCCGAAACATTTCAGAAGCCCTTGTCTGCCACGCGTCAAGCTTGTGAACCATCTACCAAAAATATTCTATATATATTTTTTAAACTTTTCCTCCCTTTTATTACAAAAAAAAAATACTACATCCATAACTCTCCAATCAATCCATACGAACGCACGCACATAGTCAGCTTTTTTTTAAAAAAAAAAAACCAGAATTTATAATTACACAGAAAAAACTTACAAATTACACGCTGACATTAATGTTGCCTTAGCCATTTTATCGGCATTCTCTACAATAGATCTGTTACCCTTAATACAATTGCTATTTGGAATAAGTTCTAGTAAATGCACAATATCCCATCCTATGCTCTGGAGGTGGTGAGGAAATTTTGTTCTTTTAAAAACCGAATCCACCAGGATGGTGCTATCAGATTGAAGTTGACAGTTAGCTAGTCCCAATTAGTGTGCCTCCTTCAAAACCTTAATAAAAGCCATGGCCTCTGAATCATCTGATGATGATGAATAAAAGCTCGATGAGCCATACTTTAGTATTTTCCCTGTTGCATCCATGATCTCTCAAGCAGCTGCACCCAAATTCATATCATTGCGAAATCCTCCATCCACCCGAATAAGAAATCCGATGTGCTTGCGACTCCAGCCAAAGTTGGAACTCCCAAATCCACATCCTTTACAAGATTCTCTTTAGTCGGCCAACTAACACAATTAAAAAAGAACTGCTCCTCCTTCATAGCCCATTCCAAGTTTTGGAAAGGATGTTGATCTACTCCTTTCCATACCTTTTCGTTTCTGGAAATCCATATTCCCTAGGAAATAAAGAATGAATATTGAAGCAGACTTGTTTCTGGAACCCGTATAATCCAATTATCCAACCATTCACAAAAGGATGTCTCTGAATTACTACTGAAATCAAATCCAAAATTGGAGCTTTTCCATATGATTTGAGAGATGTGACAATAAAGTAGAAGATGCTTCACTGATTCCTCTTCTCTCTGGCAACGAGGATATAACACCTCCACTGTTATTCCTCTCTTGTGTAAACCCAGATTTGTAGGAAGGGCGTTGTTAGCTGCCCGCCAGACTATCCACTGTACTTTGGCCGGTAATTTAGTTTGCCAAAAGATCTTCCAGGCCTTTTCACTTAAATTGGTAACCATCAACGTTCCAGCATTTGTGATTAATGAATTTGTGCCATTAAAAGCTTCATAGTATCCGCTTTTGACATTATATTTACCAAATTCTTACTTTTCTCAAAACATGGAGTCTGCTTCTCTACACGGTTGATAAGAAATGTATGTTGCTAAGATTTTCTGAGCTGTTTCATTAGGAAAAAGTGATCTAACCGCCAATTCATTCTATTGATGGTTGGAGTCCCACAAATCCCTCACCTTCAATTTTGGCAAACCCTGTCTTGCTGATTGGTGCAAACTTAACGGAGTTAATGTTTCTAGAATCCAGGAATCCCTCATTTTCGAACATATTTCGCCTTTAAAATTTTGGCAAATGACGAATTGGGATTCATGTATACTTTCCATTGAAAAGCTCCATAGCTAGGGTTTGGTAGATAAGTTTCATGAACACATAATGAATTTGGAAAATTTGGAAAATTTCTGATTGTATTTTCGTCAGTCAATTCAGGCGTGGAGTTCCAGTATATATACATGAAGATCTAACTAAAAATAAACTAATAACAGCCGACATAATTAACATACAGCAGGTCAACTACTTGGTCTACCTATACAAGTCTACACCTATATTTACAGGCATTGTCAATTGGACCCCTGATTGATCTAATCTCCTGGATCATGTACAAATGTCTGATCTGATGTAGGTGGCAGTATCAATTCTGTATAATCCTTGATCCCCCCCTCCCTCAAGCTGAGAATGGTGTTGATGAAGATCAAGCAAGCTCAGCTTGGACAGAAGGAAATGGAAATGTGGAGCATGCAAACTTTTGGTAAAAAGATCTGCAGGCTGAAGTTTTGAAGCAATATAAAGTGGCAAAATGAAGCCAGCTTTATATTGATTTCTGACCACATGACAATCAATGTCTAAGTGTTTAGTTCTTTCATGGAATGTAGGGTTTTCAGTAATGT